GAAGCAGAGGGTCTGGACCGAGAGAACTTGACATTACCCGGATTTCAAGAGAAGCTGCTGAAAGATGTGGCCAATGCTACCAAAGGAACAGTGATTTTAGTCCTAATGGCAGCTGGTCCAATTGACATTTCTTTCACTAAAAGAATCAGTAACATAGGGGGGGTATTGTGGGTAGGGTATCCTGGTCAAGCTGGAGGAGATGCCATAGCCCAAGTAATATTTGGAGACTACAACCCAGGTACTGTTTTTGTATTAAATGCCTACATATATTTATTTTGAGATATCTTCACTGGTTCATTGATTACTCAGGGTGACAACTGACAAATTTTCCTATTAAATTTTTAACACAATTACCACCCGTTAAGCTGGAATAACCCTGTGCCATTTAATCCATGTGGTTTTGTGGTCATGTTTATCTTTTAATATATATGTTACTGGATATTGCCTACAAATCTTTAGAAACTAACAGTGAAGTATTAAATTTTAGGTGGTAGGTCCCCTTTTACATGGTATCCACAATCTTATGCTGATCAAGTGCCCATGACAGACATGAACATGAGAGCCAACATCAGTAGAAGTTTCCCTGGAAGAACCTACAGGTTTTACAATGGGAGTTCTCTCTATGAATTTGGCCATGGATCAAGCTACTCCACATTCTCCACCTATATTGCATCTGCTCCCTCCACCATAACGATTCAAAACATATCCATTTCTGAACCACATAATAATATCTTCTCTTCCAACTCAGCCACCAAACATGAGTCTCTATCTGACGGTCAAGCAGTTGATATTTCCACCATAAGTTGCATGGAATTGACATTTTTACTTGTCATTGGTGTGAAGAACAATGGACCCTTTGATGGATCCCATGTGGTGCTTGTGTTTTGGGAGCCAGCAACTTCTGAGATGGTGAGTGGGGTTCCTATTAAACAATTGGTAGGATTTGAAAGAGTACAAGTTATGGTGGGGATGACAGAGTTTGTAACAGTGGAAATTGACATATGCCAAGAGATGAGTAACGTGGATAGTGATGGCAAAAGAAAGTTGGTCATTGGACAGCACACAATTTTGGTTGGGTCTTCCAGTGAAACCCAGGTTAGACACCACATTGATATTAAACTTCCAGAGACTATTGAGGGAGAAGAATTCATGTCTGAATGAATCCAATAAGCAAGCTTTGCTAGCAGCTACAAGCCATAGCAATAATATCCGCTAGCTAGTTGTTACTCACATCATGTACTGGGAAAATGAAGTTGCTTCTGGATGTTATGAGTTTGATAGCAGAGATATTAATACATATATATATTTATAGAAAAAGTAATATAAATTCGCTAGAGGAAGGGCTTGAACCTTCGACCTTGTGGTTAACAGCCACACGCTCTAACCAACTGAGCTACTCCAGCTTGTGAATTTTTTTTCTAATAATTTATTGTAGATTCTTTAAACTTGTGATTCACAGCCATACACTATTAATGACCAATATTTATATATTTGATTAATGTTTAACAATATAATTTTAGTTATCTTATTTTGAATAATAAGTCGGGGGAATATCTACTAGGTAATTTTTTTACAATATCATGTAAAAATTCTTAACTTTACAGAAAAAATAAAGCACTTCTATGATTTTATTGTTTTTCCTGTTATATGTTATATGAGATAAAATTATCTCTTGTAAATTCAAAATTATGTCATTTTGAAAGTTAGGAAAATTGATGAAAGGTGTTTTGATAAAATTTATATAATAAAAAAAATATAAAATAATTAAAATACTCATTATTAATTTTCAAAATGATGTAATTTTAAAATTATAGGACATAATTTTATCTTACTTCTTATAGGGAAATGTTAGTCTCGGGCGACAAAAAGGAGAACAATTCTCCTGTACACTCATTATTGCATCAGTAACAGTGTCTGTCTCTTTTTTGTTTTTTTTTTGGGAGTTATTAATCTTATGTTACATAAGATAGGTATCTTATATGGGTGAAACAAAGTTGTGGGATCCACAATTATTAAAAAAATAAAAAAGAAAAAGAAAATATGGGCACAAGATTCCATGAGTGTGTAACATAAGACAATTATCTTATGTGACATAAGATAACTATTTCCTTTTTTTTTAAGTCACGGATCGCACCTAAAAATTGTCACTGCTGGAAGATTAATTTTTTTACTACAGGAGAAAAGATATCCCCTTTCATATAATAGGAGAAGGGTAATTGTAGTCTTATGTCACAACAAATTTTTTTTATCTCATGCACACTTAACTTGAAGTGGGGCCCACCACAAAAGAGAAGAAAAAAAATAAAAAAGAAATGGCACAAGTATCGATGTATGAACATAAAATAAAAATAAAATCCTGTTGCATAAGATTAATATTGCCCATAGGAGAAACGATAAACACATCAATGAAAACAACTTTAACTTTTTATAAAACCTCAACAGAAATTTTTTTATAAAAGAACTTTAAAAAAAAAAAAACCTTATCTAGATGAATGATTGGCTGATTGGAGAAATGCAGGACATGGCGGCTGACATATCGTGTTTTGATGTTTGTTTCTTCCATTTCATGATGGTCAAATGTCAAACGTTCCTTTTTTGAGAAAGTGGCGTTGAGCTGTTTCGCTTTCTGTAGTTTTCCTACGCGCATTGCCATAGCCGGCTGAGGAAAATCATATATAGTCAGGGTCTATCCAATTACTGACACGACACAAATAAAACATGGAGCTTTCAAATGCCCATATAAAGCAAAAGACAAAGTCAGAGTTGTCATCCAAATAACTAATACAATTCAATTTCCAATTACCAAGCGAGCATATTCAAACACCCCTCAGAAGTCAAAACAACTTTCCTTCAGTTGGAAGCTAAATTGTATTGTTTTGCAATATCATCCATCAACTAAACATATTTGAACAGAATAATAATAGTAATAATAATAATAATAATAATAATATAGTGCTCAAAATTTAGCAAAAATGAATGGTCGTATTTTGTCAAAATGACATAGAAAGAATTACTTGAAATTCTCTTTAGTTATAGTACACGTGGAAGGACATGAATGAAATACAATTTTGCACCGACAATTTAGCCCATATAAACATGTCTTTCGTTGCAACCTTGTGCTATACAAAAAAAAACAAGTTGTCAAAGGTTGTGTTTGTGAGAGAGAAAGAGCTAAACAAGCAATGGAAGGTTTGATTCCATATCTTATTCATGCGTTCAAGAAGCAAAAGCCTCATCACCACATACCCAGGAGCTTCTCCCATTCAGAGAGTTCAAACCGTAGCTATCATTTGCTAATGGGATCTGACTCATTAACTGGATCTTCTCACAGAAGAACAAGGTCTGATTTTCAGCCACCCACAGCTGAGTTCTTAGAGCAAAGATATGGTGTTGATGGATTTTTGGTCAGCCCCAGAGGCCCTGTGACTTCAGCTTCTCCCACTCTCAATGCTACTGCTTCTTATGCTGCCCAACCCTCTAATAATTTCAACAACATTCGCCATCGCAAGTGATATCTTCAACATCATAAGGGATGTTCCATTTTCTTTTAAAAATCTTTTGGGGCTTTTAGATATTATGTGTCTCTTCTAAGTTTTGATTCATTTGTTTAAGATGATGGGTGACTATCATTCGTGATCTATGTATAGTTCTGATCTTGTAAGCTGATTTTTAGGGGATCAACTCTAATGAATGTTAAGAGATTTGAAGAGAAACAATTCTTCAATTTCTAGGAGATCAATTTATTTTATTTTTCAAATACAGTCCAATAATGGACAATCGGGGATTCGATCGCGGGGTCAAAAAAAAATCCAGGGGGAAAAAAAATATTATTTCTAAGCAGGGTAAATTAACCCAAGAAAAAGTATTATAATGATAATTTGAGGAATATTTTTGTTATTTTGTTGGTATTTAAAATAAAAAAATGTTCTTTGAATTAGGTAAGTCATCACACTTCACTCTAAATATTTGCGTAAATAAGTACTAAAGTAAAACAAAATTCAACAAAGAGAGCTTCCGAGATAAGAATGACAAATTCAAAGATGGAATAGTCAGACATGAAATTTTCAAACAGTTTAGTTCAAGGGAATTATTATTCTTATGCTGTAGGAGATAAGGTATCTTATGTGATAGACTCAATATGTGTGAGTTCCATTGATTTTTTAAAAAAGAAAAAAGGAAGGATAAGTAGGAGAAAGTGTCTATCTTATGTTACATTATACTAACTTAACCCTTAGTTTAACATTAAATTCTGTTTTGCGATACGCAGGGATGAGTATTATATATCATGAGGCCTACAACCTTACAAAAATCAAATATTTGGTATTCTTCTGCCAAACTTTGACCACACACGAAGTGGAAATATTGAGTTACGGCTTTCCATTCCGTTGGCTTTAGGATTATCAATTATGAGAATTTAGTTCTTTTTACTCCTACTAAAAAAATATAAATACCAAAAAATAAAACAGAGAGATATTATTATGTAAAGAAAATTTTTAATTACTTTTTTTGAATTATAGAACAAATTTTAAAAATTATCTTTAATTTTTTATATTATTGCCTTACAAGTAATTTGGAAATTATCCTTATACCAAAAAAGTTTATGATGGTTTTGGAAAACATAGGTAATACAAGATTTGCCATTGCACATTACTCTGATAGCCGATGCAGCCACGAATTATTCCAGCTTCAAAATATGTTTCACCTTTGTCATTGGGGATTGAATCCTGTTAACCTTTGCAGAAATTGACAATCGTTACACACAACAGATCCATTAGCTATGCTGAAGTCAGTAATAGCTTGATATCATAATGAACAAATTCAGCAACTCAAGTGCAACACAAGTTGAAAAAATTGCACATGTAAACCAGAGAGGAAAAGAAATCATAAAATTGTTAATGAAGCAAATCATCTCTGGCAATTGTCCACAAGCCACGAGTTGTAATAATGATTTCCAAAAAACAACCATGACAAGCTTCGCAAATACTAGCTGCTGTTTGATATTATGAAGCTAATAGTGCTTCCAGCTTTGCAATCTGGTCATCCTCGCTCTTTGGAGTAGGATCTTTGTTAACCTCTTGATACAAATCATGTTTCCACTTCTCCGTTTGAGTCTTAACAGGATTATAACCTTGTCTTCCATTAAAGTTATCTCTTCCCCTGTAATTGCTATTGCCTCCACCGTTCCCGTACCTTACTCTAGATGAAAAGCCATCCCTCCTAGCTTCACTCTTGTTGGGTACTCTGTTATCCGCATTTTGCTTCTCAGGTCTATCTAGATGGCGAGGGTTGCTGCTTCTTTCCTCCTTCCTTTCATTCTTTTCTGGAGGGTGGTCAGTGTGGCTTGACTTTACTGATACAGTCGCAGCGGGATTAGCATCTCCTGAATCTGCGGGTATCTTCTTCTCCCTAAATGCAGGCCTTTTCCTCATAGTGGAAGGTGGAACATCTTTCCTTTCAGAAAAACCATCTCTTCTCTGGAAATTATCATCCAGTTTAGCCTCTGAATTCTCACCTCTTTGCTCTCCACTTTGACTTGTTTCCACCCTTTGATTATTCTCTTTAATTTGAGTAGAGGCTTTTCCTGCATGAAATGGAAGAACTATGTGTTTGAGTGTATTCAGTCAATCTAAAAACCATCCATACATAATAAAGCCAAAGGAAAAGAGCATATATACCAAAATAAAAATAAGGAAACTCACCACTAGCTTCTCTTCGGCCAGTGCTACGACCAACTTGCCCAGTAGTACCCTGTTCATCCTGCTGTTATAAAACATGCATACACAAGCCTAAGATGGTTATATATCGAGGCACTTGATGACATGGTGCTGAACAAGAATCCCGCTACATCACCCAATAAAAATAGTTTGCATACACTGATTAACAATCAAGCATATAAAGGAATTTTAAATCTGTAATTGAATATGAATCTCCAAGTCATCTTGAAAATGATCATTAAAACATCTTTTCAATACTGCATATAAAAGAGGTACGTGATGATAAATACTGCAGCTCCTCACCAGTCAAGGGTTGTAAGAATAAGAACTATTTTCAACAATTCTGGCAAAGAATTTGTTATTATACAACTTGCATAATCAACTATGCAAGTATAAACTATCCATACAATTCAATAATTAATCCTCAAAGCAAATTCCAGTTGATGTCTTTGGTTAACACTTCTGGCCCATATTTCACCTAGTATAACAACACTATAGAGCAATCCGTTACTGGCATTCTGAAATAAGTAACTTACATGTCTTTGGTTAACACTTGTAGCAGTTAAACATAGAGTAAAAGGTCATGGCCAAGAATTTGCATTACAATTGAAAGGTCAGCAAATAAAATCACTTACAACTTGTCCCAGACAGTTAATAGCGCCCAGCAGAAAGTAAAGATTGGTTTTTCATGTTTTTCTCTCACTTCAAACCCCCACCCCACAACAAATATAACAACACACAACATGACTTATTGTATGCAATCCAAGAAAGCGGTTTGTGCATAATGCACATGCTGTTGGCCGTTGGGTAGCGGCTAAGGGGAGCTCAATTAGAGGAGACTACCATTCACGTATCAAATGGGCCTAAGCAACAAGGTCCAACATCATATCTCAACCCAAAACCTTAAGACAATATAGGCCTATGGGTCTTTCGCATTTCTATGGTCCTCACTTGTTTCATTTCCAATGGATGTGGAACTTCATCACTACTCACACTTGAATATTTCCAACGTATGCACCCCTCCTCTTTAAGAATATAGGAATTACGGATTTTAATATAAAGCAGCCTAAGGATTTTTTTTTGCCCCCCAAACATTTCCAGTTTGGCTTGACGCACTCACAGGAGCTTAAAAAGGGTTAAACAACATCTAATCTAGTACCAGTCAATACGCAGATTTGAATATGGTCAGTGTTAGAACTTGATTCAAAGGTAAACAAGCACAGCTCATGCATTCAATTGTTTAAAAAAATGCTGTGACCTGATAGAAAGAGCGAGATCTTGGTTGTTGAGATGAATGTTTGGGTGGCTCATAATGATCATTTGAATTTGATTTCTTGTGAGCAGCATCGGAAGGTTCTTGCTTAGAATGATGTGACACTGGTAGGTTTCTCTGATCCCGATCCATATGGTTATGGTCTCCACCTCCTCCATTTGTGGTTACTCTGTCCCTCTCTCTTTCTCTTTCTTGTTTCCCATCCCTTCTATACCTCTTGGGACTAGAATCAACATTCAACAACCAAAACCATCTCATTATTTTTCACTAGAACTCGAGCAAGAATGAAGAATGCATTTAATTTAACCCAACCCTAGCTCAATTGAAAATCATGTGATTACAATTTTGAAACCTTCAAGAGTAAGGTTTCAAGTTGAGAGTTAATAACCCAATGGATTGCATTACTCAGATTCAATTGAAAACCTTGTGATTGTGATTGTTATTGAGTCGAAAACAGGCATAGGCATAGGCATAGGCATAGCGAATGAAACGAGAAAGTACCTTGGTTCTCGATCGAACTTCGAATGGCGACGCTTCGAATCGGAGTCTCGACGAGACATTAGGTTTTTCCGTTGAATCTCAATCCTTACCCACACTTCAGTATTCAGTATTAGGGCTTACCTACTTTCGATTCTATCATATTTCTATGTCCCACTATCACTATTCCTTCCACAATTAATCATATAATTCGTATTATCATATATTCATATATTTGTTCTTAAGAAGAACGAAAAGCCTTTATTTTTAAATATTCTTTTAGATTAAATTACTTTGAAATAATATTTCATAAATTTGGTCCTTATTGTTTATTTTCATTTGCTAATTGTATGTGTCGCATATCTCTTGCTGTGAAATGATGTTACTACTTTAACTATTATCTTGCCATTAAAAAATAATTATAATAACTTTCCTTAAATTATATGGTCAGAATCAGATTATGCGAATAGTGTTTATGGTTTGAAGGAATTCAATCGGTAAACAAAATCAATAAATGTTTTCCAAAACTAATATTACTCGTACTTATTTTCCATCAACCTTAACTTCGAGAAACTTGATATAAATAAGAGGTTGTTCAAATATAATATTAGAAAATAATGTAATCAATTGCTATATATTTTCTATTAATTTAGAAGAACACAATGCCATTAATAGCAAAAATAATCATATTTAGAACAACATCGATATTCACACACGTCATTTTTTATATCATTTTTACACCCGTTAATAATGTAAAAGTTTAATGTTAACAACATGCTTGGTGTGATTAACGGACAAATAATCTATTAATGTAGTATGCTAATTGATTAACCATAAAATATATTGTTAATCATAAAATTGTACATTAGTATATCATTAACCAATATAAAAATTGTACACATAAAATTTTATAAGTGATGCTCATAGATTTATCCAATTATGAGAACTCAAATAAAAAATTCAAAGTACTTAATGAGTTGATTCAAAAAATTTAATCTTAAGAAACGTTTGGTACAGGAGAAAAAAAAATTACTTGGAAAAAAATATTACGGAAAAATTGGTAGGAACTGATTTTTTTCGGATAAGTTACAAAAATGTGTTTAGTTGACCAAAATTTTTCCGAGATAATTTGATTAAATCTTTTGAGTTGTTGTTTGGTTGATTGTAAAATAGTAGTAGGAAAGTGAGGTTATTTTACAAGAATACTCCCATATTTACTTTTTCATATCCTCGGGCTACATACTATTCCATATATTGAATGGACTTCCATTTGCTTTTCTCTTATGTAGATTTACAAGCAAAAGTGAGATAATATTTTTACCCAAGAAACTCTCCCCTATTTTGGTACCAAACACTGCAAACAATTATTTCCAAATTAACTTTCCCGAATTATAAAATATAATCCGCGTAACAAACGCCCCTTTAATGAACTTTGTGAGGATAAAAGTGAGGTGGATTGTATATAGTCTTATTTATATATATTTTTTTAAAAAAAATTATTCTATAAATTCGAATCCATAATTTTTCAGTTGTAAGACAAAATTTTACCGGCTCCAAAAATTCCCTCTAACAACACAGTTTTAAACAACAGTGAAACAAATCCCTTTTGATTAATGTTTTCCTTTGGTTTAGCCTCAAGTATAATAGTTTGAGTGAATGGTGTAGATGCTTATATCAAATTAAGTGACATTACGGATATCTAACTCACCATTAATTAATGGATGCATTTAAGTATAAAACTAAGATTGGAGGACTTTTGCCTAAGATCATTGATGGTCTCACAGTGAATGATCAGCTGATAGAGTGGATTAGTAACTTCTTTGTCATAATGCTGAGCTAGCCAAACCTTTCTACCTGAAAATTAAGCAATCACATTTATTATCCTGAATTCAGCAAGTGTTTCTCCATCTTCTGGATTTAGTGGTAGTGGTGTCATTACTCAACACACGCTACACAGCATTTGTTTAATCCAACTCACTAATACTCAGTGCACTGTGATATTTGAGTAATGTAATCTGTATGCATTTGATTTTTTATTTTTTTTTATAAATCACATATATTCTCCATAGAAATTAATCATGTTCGAAGTGGGTGCAGGATTAAAGCTTTAAAATCCATACATTTGATTTTGATATAAATTGTAAATTCCATTAACACACGTCACTCCTACATCAGTTAAATCTTTCATTTTGATAGGCAAAAATGAGTTGTAACTCACTAAACAATGGTTGATTGGTTCAGATTAAGAATTGACACGACAATACATGCTCTTTGCGCTGTTGAATTTTAACTTTGCAACCAATCTTCGTGAAATACTCGTCATATTCACCATCATGGTTGATAATGCCCATTAATTATATGCTTCTAATTACCAACAGCAACTTCTGTTTACGTGATAAAACTAGATATCATTTATTTATGAAGATGCATTCCTCTTCAGATGCCACTTGTATATTTATTGAATTTAAAAACTGTGTGGGTATGACATACTAAAGTGATGAAGTAACGAGCTCGTTTGTCATGCTCCGCAAACTTGTACTCCCTTCTAAAAATAGGAAGAAAAGAAAGATTAAGATGGAATTTTGAAAAAAAGGAAAGGATATAAATAAAAGAAAATTTTCTTTTTTTAGTAAAGAATCATGAAATAGTGTTGTGCTCCTGGAGCACATTAGAAAAATGGTTTTATGTTTATCATGTAACATGATATAACATCATTTTTCTACACACATATTAAAGAGGCGGGATCCACATATTTTTCTTTTTCTTTTATCATTCCACTTTCTCTCTCTATTTTTGTGTGTGTGTTGGAAACAACACTTAAATTATGTAACATAACACTAATAAAACCCTTAGAAAAATCCTGAAGTAAGATAGCAATACTATATTTAGTAACACAATATTTATTCAAGAAAATGATAATACAATATGTTAGAGTATTTATTTTTGGTGGGAATGTGTATTAAACTTTTGTGCATCAATTTCTTTTTTTACCATTATTTTGTATTTTAAACTGAAATTAAGAAATTTTTATTATAATAGTATGATATGAGAATACGTCTAAGTTCATAAAATTTGTGTTAAAACTTATAGCTATTAATATTTGGACACTTAAATAATCAGTCAATCATGGCTAAGGCTAAGCATTAGAATTTATGTAGTCATGTATTAAAATCATATATTTATAGAGTTCAATTTTAACATATTATAAATATAAAATTAATTCAACTAAATTCATATTCAAACTACTAATCAATTACTAACAAGAAAATTACTCGAAACCAATATTCTGGAAGTTGTAACACGTATAAAGTGGAAGATGATTCACGGGACATCATTAGAATCCATAATTCAAATTATCTGACATTGCCAAAGGTATGTCTGTGCTATATATGAACCTATCAAATTTGTCATTTGACATTTCTTATTCCTATATCCTCCTTCATCGCATTATCTACCTATTATTTAAATAATTAAGAAAGAGAAGAGTTATATTAACAAACTTTTTTTTACAAACATACAAATTACTTTATGTCACTGGTAAGACTTCACTCAAGAGTGTCTTACTGGTTGTAAGAGTTTGTAAACAAAAAAATTATAAATATAACATTTCCTATTAAGAAATTATGTTATAATTTTAAAGATTTTGAATTTTTTTTCTAATTTAAGAATTTCATCTTTAATAAATATTTTGATTTAGGATTTTATACTCCAGAAACATAATGTTTTATTATAATTTCGTATTTTTTTTTTAAATTTTAATTACCACTTATTATATCCCGCATAGCGTCTCAAGTAATGGAAGTTTCTGATATATGATTATTTGGCGGCGTTAATATATTTCCCTGTTTCTAACATAAAATTGAGTGAAGGCTTCTTTGAGTAGAGAAAAGATGAAGGTTAGGTTATGGCGTTTATATCCCTAAGAAAACTTAATTTGTAATATTCCATAACTCAGCATTTTGGTTGAGTTATCTTCTGGTGGATCAATCCCTCCGGGGGCGTTTGGTTCAGGAAATTTTTTTAGAATAGTAGAGAAATGATTGGAAAGATAGATAAAGTGAGATAGGTAGAAAAATGTAAAAAAAAGTTGTTTGGTGGGGAAAAACTTTACGGAAAAATTTTTTAGATAACTTTATGAAATCAACAGTGCATTAAAAGTCAGATAACCGGTTTTTCGAAAAATCTCACCTTCAAATTGGGTTTCTAAACAGTACGAATATCTATGTTTCTCATAAATCCAGACAAATTGGATAGATGGGTTTTTGGTGAAAAACGTTGAAACAAACATGGTGTTTCTAAAAGCCATACTTGAGAAAGATAGATATCCGCTGAAAAGCTCCCAACCAAACACCACCTTAGTTTCCATACATTTTGAGATTGGGTATTATGCCTATCACTGTTACTATTTAATTGATTAAGGTTAGATTAATTTTAGATCAATTTAAAATCAACCAAAAAATGAAAAAATGAAAATAACTATCATTGGTTTATTTTAAATTGATGTAATGATAATTAATTAGATAATAAGAATGATAAGCCTAAAATAGTGATAAATAAAACACATAGCTTGATCTTAATTCCCATTAACTGCCATTGGGATGCAATTGCGGGTTTTCTGACTCAGTTTATGGTTTTGACTTTTTAAGTAAATGAGAACCAATAGTCACAAGCTTTACTTTTAAGTGCATTTATGACTGTACAACTGCATCAGCTTTACTATAATGTAAAAATCATGCATTTTCAAACACCACAAAAGTAAAATCAAATATATCATAAATTGTAAGTGGAAGAGATAATTATCTTCATTTATATTTACTACTATTTAATATCTCTGACAATCATTAAATTTTTTTCCTTGATTGTTAAGGTTCACCACATAACGCATGTAGGTACATTGTGTAAGGGGTATGTTTGATATATAATTAGCTGCGTCAATATATTTCCCTTACTAACATAAAATTTAGTGAAGGATTCTGAGTAGTGAAAAGATGAAGATTGCTGCTGAAGGCTGCAATTTGTTGTTCACCATCTCTTGCCTTTTACTGATCTCAGGTTTCTATCTGTTTTCTCTCCGTGCCAGCTATAGTTTTCACATATAGCAATTCACACTAATATATCTTCTCAACACACGCAGGGCTTGGCGTCCATTCTTTGTCTTATGATTATTCTGCTACTACACAGGCAATAACACTTCCTCATTAATAGTTTCATATACTAACCAGGAAACTAGAGTATTCTTAGTTGCATTACATGTTTACCTTTTTCATCTCAGGTTCCAGAATACATAATGATTTAATTTTATAACTTAAACCAGTCAAGTCAGGTCTTTATAAACATGGCTTTGTGCTAGTCTCTACCAGCAATTAATACCTAAACTTACTTGTGTTGCTAATGTCTTGAAATGAAGCAGTGCGTGGAAGAACCTCAGAGAGCACAATATGGAGGAGGCATTATAGTAAATCCGGGATTTGATCACAACATAGAGGGTTGGACAGTATTTGGAAAAGGAGCAATCGAGGAACGAATATCTAATGGAGGCAATAGATTCATTGTTGCCCGCAACAGAACTCAGCCATTGGATAGTTTCTCACAGAAGGTTCAACTTAAGAAAGGAATGCTATACAGCTTTTCTGGTAACTTTCTCTATATTATTATGATAAAGAATCAATTCAATCAAAACTTAACTGTTGCGGTTGAAATCTTTTTAATAATTTATATTATTTTTTAATATACTATTTCACATGAGAGTTCTTTGGACTTGAAGCGTGAATGTTGCAAAGGCCCACCACCTGAAAGTGGGGCACTGTTAGTATCGAACTCATAACCTTTTGGTCACTCCAGCTCTGATACCCTATAAAAAAAATTAATTCAACCCAAAATCTTAAAGCGTTGGTGATATATATTAATTATTTTGTATCTTTTGTATCTCACTTTCACTAACATTCGTTTAATGAATGTTACCACGTTGGCCATTACCTTTCTAAAACTTTTTGAATGATTATTGTTTCCCCTTGTCCACATTCAGCTTGGTTTCAGCTCAGTGAAGGAAGTTACAGTGTGTCAGTTTTATTTAAGACAAATGGAAGTGAACTGATACGAGGTGGCCACGTGATAGCAAAACATGGATGCTGGACTCTGCTAAAAGGCGGCATAGTTGCAAACTTCTCAAGCTCTGTTCAGATTCTTTTTGAGGTTAATACATTCTGCATTTATATTCCTGCCACTCAGCTTCAGATACAAAAAAAAAAAGAAAAAAAAATTATAATAAATTTTGTTTAACAATTAGATTGCTGAAGGATTTAAAATTTCCCTGAAATGATTCTTATTGACTTTGATAACAGTTATTCGCAATACTTATAAAACATGAGCAGTAATTGTTGGGTGTGCCCCTTACATATTGTCTAATTTGTGGATGAAATAACTTAAAAAGTTATTGATGAAGCATTTAATGTCATTGATGTAATATTTAATGTCAATAATAGAGTATCTTGGTGCAAGTATGGGTGCGCAAAAAAACTGGTTCACTTGCCCCGTCTTTAATCTGATCTTCACTTGATCCATAAATACCTATTTTTTTAACTGGGTTTAAATACTGACCCACTTTATTTGAGTCAGTTTTAGACTTGACTTGTTTTAATAATAACTCATTGACTCAAAACCTCATACTCATTATGTGAAAAAAGAAAAGAAAAGAAAAATCACAATTACATTAAAAGAAAAGTTTTAATATAAAACAATTACGTCAAAAATTTTTACGCAAAATATTTTTATCAAAATTTGTGACTAAAAATATTTCTGTAAAAAAATTTTGACGGAAAATTTTTTTTGTCAAATTTTTTTACGAAATCTAAATTTCGTCAAAATATTTCACAAAAAAACATATTTATCAAAAATTTCGACGAAACACATTTCCATCGAAACTTTTTGACGGAAAAAAATTTCATCAAAATTCTTTACAGAATTCAAATTTCGACGAAAGTTTTCGACGGAAACATTTTCGTTAAACTTTTTGTCAAAAAAAAAATTTCGTCAAAATTTTTAGCGAAACACATTTTCATCGAAAAAATTTCGACTAAATATTTTTCGTCAAGTTCCACTTCCATCAAAAATTTTAACGAAACACATTTCTGTCAAAGATTTTCGTAAAATTTTTTGACAAAAAATATTTCGATAAAAAATTTTAACGGAAAAAATATTCTGTCAAAATTCTTCAGAGAATCTAAATTTCGTCGAAAGTTTCGAATGAAACATTTCCCTCAAAACAATTTTCGTCGAAATCTTCGTCATAACACATTCCCTTCGAAATTTTGAACGAAAAATATTCCGTCAAAATTTTTGACGGAATTCTTTTTTCGTTTAAAACATTTGATGGACGAAATCATTTTTGTCAAAACTTTTGACGGAAACTAAATTTCGATAGAAAATTTATTTTTGTAAAAATTTTCATTAGAGAAAAAATTTCGTCGCTTTTCGACAAAAAGTATTCCGTCGAAAAAATAATTTTGTGACGAAATTTTCGTCGTTTGGAAAATAGAAATTTTGACAAAATTTTGTGACGAAACTGTTAAAATTCTAATCCTGGAAATATACATCTCTTCATTGATTTTCTCCTCTTTAACTGAGGTATTTATACAAGTATCAATAACAGTACTAACTTAAAAATAGATAACAAACTCTATAAATCTAAACAACTAAACAAATCAATCCTATCCAATTTACAACAATATTTTAACAAACTAAATTCTATCAACATATTAAATCCTATCTTCAACACTCCCCATCAAGTTGGTGCATGAATATCTATGATGCCCAACTTGTTAATGGCTTCTTCAAAAGCTTTTCCATAAACATCTTTAGTCAATACATCAGCAAGTTGTTCTTGAGACCGTACATGAAGAATCTCAATTATATGATTTTCAAGCTTCTCTTTTATAAAATGCCTATCTATTTCAACATGCTTAGTCCTGTCATGCTGAAACGGATTGTGTGCTATCTCTATCGCAGTTTTGTTATCATAGAAAAGATTCATTGGCTGACTATATATAATTCCCAATTCAGCTAATATATTTTTAATCCATAACAGTTCACAGACACCATAAGCCATACCTCTGAATTCAGCTTCAGCACTTGACCTAGCCACTACCTTTTGTTTCTTGCTCCTCCATGTGACTAAATTTCCTTCTACAAAGGTGAAGTACCCAGAAGTTGATTGCCTTGTAGTCTTATCACCACCCTAATCTGAGTCTATATAGCCTTCACTGCATGGTCTATCATTTTTTGAAAAAAGCAGCCTTTTTCCTGAAGTTCCTTTGAGATATCTAAGGATTCTGGACACGGCTTTCATATGTTCCTCACTAGGGGAATGCATAAATCTGCTTACAATGCTTACAGAATATGCAATATCAGGTCTAGTGTGTGACAAATATATTAATTTACCTACAAACCTTTGATATCTGCCTTTATCTGCATCATTCTGATTCGGATAGACACCAAGTGAGTGATTCATCTCCAATGGAGTTTCTGCTGGCTTGCTACCCAATAATCCAGTTTCAGAGAGAAGATCCAAAATATATTTTCTTTGAGATAAGAAAATTCCTTGTTTAGACCTTGAAATTTCTATTCCAATAAAGTATTTCAGTGGACCAAGATCCTTCATCTCAAATTCAGTAGCCAACTTCTTTTCCAAAGACTTCATTTCTTCTAGATCATCCCCAGTCAACACCATATCATCTACATAAACAATAAGTATTTCCACCTTCCCTTTGTTATGCTTAATAAATAGAGTATGATCTGAGTTGCTTTGTTGGTACCCAAACTTTTTCATTGCTAAAGAGAGCATACCAAACCATGCTCTTGGTGATTGTTTAAGACCATAGAGTGCCTTTTCCAGTTTACAAACCATATTCTATTTTGAATGTGTTGTCTTCACTCATGGGGGTACCTCCATGTAAACTTCCTCTTCTAGATCACCATTCAAGAAGGCGTTCTTCACATCAAATTGTTTTAAGGGCCAGTCTCGGTTTGCTGCTATAGAGGTTAGTATTCTGATGGTATTTAGCTTTGCCACGGGAGCAAATGTCTCTTGATAGTCTACTCCATATCTTTGTGTAAATCCCTTGCTACAAGTCTTGCCTTGTACCTATCAATGCTTCCATCTGCCCTTAGTTTCACAGTATAAACCCATTTGCAACCAATTGTCTTCTTCCCTTCTGGTAGAGATGTCAGACTCCAAGTGTTATTTTTCTGAAGTGCTTCCATTTCAGTGTTCATAGCTTGCTTCCATTTAGGATCTTCCAATGCTTCCTGCACACTATTAGGAACTTGTACAGTAGATAATTGATCAATTGTTAAAGCATATGATTCAGATAACCTATGGGATGACACATAATTGCTAATGGGATATTTCCCTTTCACTTTCAGATTCGGTTCATAAGTGGTCTTTGGAATGCCTTTGTTTGCCCTCTCTGATCGTATAATATCCGAAGGTAAAGGATCTGTATTCTGGACGGAAACGACTTCAATAGCAGGTGGGATTGGATGATCTGTATTTTGGGCATAAGTGGTTTCAGTGGCAGGAGATTCAGACTGTGTTTCATATGTTTCCAAGGACGGGGTCTCAGGTATGTAGGATATATTTGGTGTCTCATGTAAAGGAGGACTTTGAAGAGAATTAGTATCTATAGAGGAAGGAATAGGAATAGAAGTAGAAGACCAGAATTCTTCTTCTAGAATATTAGGTATCTCCCCCTGAGAAGAAGAAGAGGGAACTCCCCCTGAATAGTAACCTTCGGATTCATTAAAAGAGACTTCAAGTGTGACATACATCTTGTGAGTTTTAGGATCAAAACAGCGGTAGCCCTTTTGGGAGTCAGAGTAGCCCAGAAATATACATTTCTTAGCACAAGGATCAAGTTTGGTGCGTAAAACTTTTGGAATATGGACAAATGCAGTGCAACCAAAAACTTTAGGTTCTAGATTCATAACATGAGGAATTGAAAAAATAAAATTCAAGTTTCTGTTGAGGAGTTAGAAACTTCAAGGAACTAGAGGGGGTCCGATTGAGAACATAAGCTGCAGAAAGAACAACTTCTCCCCAATAATGAGAGGGTACATTCATGTCAAATAAAAAAGCTCGAGTGACTTCTAATAATTGCCTGTTTTTTCTCTTAGCCAAACCATTTTGCTGAGGTGTATATGCACAAGAGGTTTGATGTTTGATCCCTTTAGAGTTTAAAAAATCAGAAAATGTTTTATTTTTATATTCAAGTCCATTGTCAGATTGCAAAATTTGGATGGAAGTTTTAAATTGAGTGGCAATCATATTATGAAAATTGCGAAATACAGAAAACACTTCATTTTTGTTTTTCAGTAAAGAGATCCACATCATTCTAGTGCATTCATCAATAAAAGAAACATAATAAAAGGCATTCGAAAAAGAAGACACACGAGTTGGTCCCCATACATTAGAATGAATAACTTGAAAGGGAATTTCACTTTTATTTGAACTAGGATAAAAAGGCATATGATGGCTTTTAGCCATTTCACAAGTAGAACAATGAAATTCAGAAGGATTACAATTCGAAAATAAATGAGGAAACAATTTATTCAGATACGTAAAAGAAGGATGTCCTAATCTCCTATGCCAAAGCCATAGTGTAGGAAATTTATTTTCAGAATTATGAACAACAATTGCACTATACTTTATGTTTGATGCACTATGAGGAGCTTCAAAAAAATAGAGGTTGTTATTTCTAACACCATAGCCAAGAATCATTTTTGTTTGGAGGTCCTGAAGCACACAGAACGTTGGGTAAAACAATACTTCACAATGAAGTTCTGAAGTCAATTTGCTGACAGACAATAGATTAAACTCAAGGGAGGGGACAACAAGCACAGAGTGCAGGGTAATAGTAGGTGATAAAACAAAAATTCCTTGACCCGTAATTGAAGCAACACTACCATTTGCAGTAGTAACAAAAGATTTATCACAATGCAAAAAATCAGTCAAAACAGAGGCATCATGAATCATATGGTTTGATGCACCAGTATCAATTATCCAAGACAAATTTCTACAGTGAGTAGAGAGAGCAAGAGAATTACCTAAGACTCCTTCATAGATAGCATTTGCCTGAGGAGAGGCAGAAGAGTCATCATCGGAAGAGAGGAGAGCTTTAGAAACAGCCTTGCGACGAGGACGTTTGGTGAAATCCCACCAATCAGGATACCCAATTAATTCATAGCACCGGTTCTTTGAATGACCAGAATCCCCACAGTGAGTACATTGGAAGGTTTTTCCAGAGGGTGCCTCTTTGCGATGTTTTTGACCATGAGGAACAGCAGAGGGACGAGGGACATGAGACAGCAAGGCAGAGGTAGGATTTGAGAACTTTCGGGTCAAAGAGATAAAAGAAATGGATACGGGTTTAAGAATTAAAAAAAATAAAAACGGATACGGGTTGAAGGTTGAACAGAGAATCAGTAGCGGATACGGGTGAAAATAAAAAAAAATATATATACGGGTCAGAAGAAAAAGGATACTAACATATGTGGGTAGTATAGATTCCTAGGATTAAAAAATTCATCTGATACCATGTTAAAATTCTAATCCTGGAAATATACATCTCTTCATTGATTTTCTCCTCTTTAACTGAGGTATTTATACAAGTATCAATAACAGTACTAACTTAAAACTAGATAACAAACTCTATAAATCTAAACAACTAAACAAATCAATCCTATCCAATTTACAACAATATTTCAACAAACTAAATTCTATCAACAAATTAAATCCTATCTTCAACAGAAACCAAGTCAAAAACGGGTCAGATCAGATTTGACTCACTTCAGAAACCAAGTCAGAAGAACTTCAGAAAAAGTCAGGTCAGATCCGACCTAATTCTAAACTAGTTCAAAAAAATCCAAACCAAGTCAAACATGACTTAGATCAAATTAAAGCGAGTCGGGTTAAAATACCTGATCTATAAAAATCAAGTTGGGTCGAGTCGGCACAAAAATCTGACCTGAGCTGACCCTTGCACAACCCCAGGTGCAAGATTACATCCCTTATTAATTAATCTGGTGTATAAATGAGACAGTAGTGAAAACATAGGAGCAATCCTATTATTGCTTGATTTTACATGTCATTTGAAAAATTACAATTAACGAAATAATTCGATTAATTACAATGTTTATTTTCTTTTCTCTAATAAAATTGTGACAATTGATTTGTCAATAGATAATTGAGATTAAACAAAACATGAGAGTTTGAATTCTCTAAAAATAGTGGGATCGGGTGAGCTGTCTGAGAGAGTCTCAAAGGGGCCGTTTTTAAGTATTTAGATATCAGTTAAAGTTTGTTAACTGAAATTTATTGAACAATGCAGAGCAAGAATTCAACGGTGGAAATATGGGCTGATAGTATCTCCTTACAACCATTCACCAAAAAGCAATGGAGATCACACCAAGACGATAGCATTGAGAAGGTAAGCGAGATCACATAGATCAAGTGGAATGAAAACGATATATGATCAAATTACATTAACAAAATCAGTAGTAAATTGTAAAAGATACATAAAAATTAACGAGTCTTGGTTTATAACCTGCAGGTACGTAAGAGCAAGGTGAGATTCCAGGTAACTCATGTAAACGAAACAGCATTGGAAGGAGCTAGAATCTTCATCAAACAAAGAAAGCCAGGCTTCCCATTTGGGTGTGGAATGAACCATAATATCCTCACAAACAATGACTACCAAAAATGGTTTGTGTCAAGATTCAAATTTACAACTTTCACCAATGAAATGAAGTGGTATAGTACAGAGATAAAGCAAGGCCAAGAAAACTATACTATCTCAGATGCTATGCTGAAATTCGCCAAAGAGAATGACATTTCTGTCAGAGGTCATAACATTTTCTGGGACGACAAAAAATATCAGCCTGAATGGGTTAAGTCCTTATCTCCTGAGGAATTAAGAGTAGCAGCAGCACAAAGAATAAAATCTGTGGTTACAAGATATAAAGGAGAACTGATTGCATGGGATGTGGTGAATGAGAATCTCCACTTCAGATTTTTTGAGGATAAACTTGGTGAAAATGCTTCTGCGGTATATTATGCAACAGCTTACCAGCTTGATCCAACAACAACCATGTTTCTAAATGAGTATAACACTATTGAACATAGTGAAGATGAGGTTGCCAACCCAGTACATTACCTCAAAAAACTTGAGGAGATTCTGTCATTTCCAGGAACTGGTGGAATATCACTGGCAATAGGGTTGCAAGGCAATTTTGCTTTTGGCCAGCCAAATATTGCTTACATGAGGTCTGGTCTGGATCTTCTAGGTACAATTGGACTTCCAATATGGCTCACAGAAGTGAGTGTGGATTTAGACCCAAATCAGGTATTTCCTCAACTTCATAAAGTCTTCCTTCAGAGATATTGTTTGTTATAAGTTGCAACATGAACTTACTGTTTAGAATTCTTAGTTTTGGTGACATCGCAATCCATATCATATTAAAATCAACACTTCATTGAGTCTTAAAGGAAGAAAAAGGAAATGAACATTGCTTTTTCTCATTCTTGTTTTTGGGGGCAGGCAGAGTATTTGGAAGAGATACTAAGAGAGGGATATTCTCATCCTGCTGTGGAAGGGATTATAATGTTCACTGGTCCAGTAAAAGCTGGTTTCAAAAAAATACCCCTCGCAGATGAAAATTTCCAAAATACTCCAGCTGGAAACGTTGTGGACAAGCTTATTCATGAGTGGCAAACTAGGTCTCTGGAAGCCATTGTGGATAGCAGAGGATGTGTAGATGTTTTACTACATCACGGAGATTTTGATGTAACTGTTACACATCCTCTAAACCACTCCTCCAAAACGCTGAATCTAAGTGTAAGGAAAGATTTTTCAAATGAAACCATCCATGTGATGATGCATGCCTAATTACATGTGTAAATTTGAATGATGGTAATAAAATGGCTTGCAGCATCATGGTTGATTATTAATGTTACCCAAATCCTTCAACGATCAAAGGTTTTGAAATACAAATAATAACCAATATTAATGTACCCTGAAAATGTTGATCCATAAAGTTACATTCATTCCAGACAGAAACTTCTAATATTAACCGATGACCATACTTTATCATATCTACATTTGAATTAATAATTGATATATGAACCAAAGATGTGTAAGTTGAGATATATAGTCCCACATTGGTTGTATGAGCAACTAATGTGGAGTTTATAAGGCCTTGGGTACTCCTACTCCTTTGAGTTAGCTTTTGGGTGGTATATCCCAAGGTTCTTTACATGGTACATGGTATCAGAGCTTCGCCGTCTCCCATTTTCTCTTGTGGAGTTTCTTTACACAAGTAGGTTGGGCATGTTGGCCTTAGACACTCTCACCCTTTGAGCTAGCTTTTGGGGTGGTGTATCTCAAGATTCTTTACCGTGTACAATCCGGAAATGGGAATCCGCTTATTAGTCCAAGTCTAATTCTCATGTTCAGATAAAAAAAACACAGAAAGGCTGATCTTCATGATCAGATAAAATAAGAAGTTTACCGATCCACATTAAGAAAATGTGGTTGTTGGGTTCTGATGATTATGTTACTGCAGCCAAGCACAAGCGTAGATCATGTGAAAAAAATCTCAAAAAGCTAGAGTACGTGGAACATTTGCAGGATCGGATTGCAAAAGAATGATTCCTCATCAGTCGGAACTCAACGTTATGGAAAGAAGGATAGGAGTGCCTACGAATTTTAGAAATCTAAGATAAAAATCCTAACATTACCATAAGAAACCAATGTCTTCAAACCAAAAATGTACTCTACTCTTTTGTCAGAAATCTACTACCGACCGGTGATCTAATCTAATAAAACATAAGTCCAAGAAAATACTGCATAAATTTCTCTCAGAATGTTGTAGATAGAGTTTCTCCTACAATATGCTCCTATTACATCAAGTGAAAACTCTTTGTGGTCCAAAACAAAATAAAATTCAACAGTCCTAAACAGCTAAATGAAAAATGTGATCTAGATCCCAAACCCAGCTTCCTACCTATTAAGACAAACTGTAGAAAGAGATTAGATTTAATTCCTCCTTCCAACTGACACCTACACCCGATCAACATCAAAATCATTTGTTCTGGGTTGGATTTGAATTGCTTGAAGGAGCCGTCCTTAAATTTGTATCTACTGATCTCTGAGAGGCTTCATAAGATCCTTTCAATTTATCTAAACTTGCAGAGAACGAGGAGACAAGGGCTAGTAGCTTCCGTGGAGGGCACCTACCTATCAGATTAGTTCTAGTCTCACTATTGATTGAAACTATAGAGCACTTGATGAAGAGTATGAGAATTAAGACAAAGGAACCCACCAAAGCACTTTGAGTGGTTTTCATGACAGGGTTTAGCAGAAACAACAAGTGAAGATAGTTAAAAGAAGGGAATTCTGGTATCCCATAGGAAGTTGGAAGGCTTGTTTGTGTTGTAGTTTGTGCCTAAGATAGAAGGGGTATCTCAAAGTGAAGTAAGTCTTTTTAATAGCCTATTTGTTGTTGAAGACTTCTATGGACTATCAATTACTAATGTAATGCATAAATAGAGAGCTGTGTGAAAGATTCAGATTTAGATGATTTGACCTGCCACATCTTTGTTGTGTTGTGGGGCAGAACATGGAATGGAAGGATCTTGTCATGTGAACCTTAATCAATTCCCATACTTCTCCGACATTTCTACAATCTTTCCATCACATGCCAATATGTATCATGTGACTAACCACATGATATAAATTGGGTTTCCTCATTTACTGATATTCTTGGCCATATTAATTTCATTATTGATTGTATTTCTGATATGTGTGACAAGCACAGCTGAACTTAGCTGGGTGAGATTACTTGAACATGAAGTTTCTTTCTCCCGAGGGAAATGTATTTTACAGCTCCACATGCAACATAAACACTATAGCAAGTTCATTATATTCCTGGAGTTTTAACCTGTTGGGTAATTACACTTGCAATTGTATAGAACTCAATAGCGAATTATACTTGTTAAGGAACACGGAAAAGCTAGGTAACTTATATAAATAGCGGTAATTGCTCCATTAAAGTATATGGGAAATATATATCTCCAGTTACTGGATATGTTTCCTCTCCAACCACAGAGACAAATACAAGTGGGCTCCATTGTGTTCTTTTTTTATAAAAAAAAAATAAAAATAAAAATATGTTTATGAGGGCAACAGGAAATGATTTTCTACGACAGGAGAAAATCATCACCCTTAAAGTATATAACCATTTTTATGGTATTTGATGTAGTTTTGAGGTCTTACATAGATATTTTACTAGAGGATGTGATCTTTTTATTTGGCCTGAAATAGATAATGTAGTCAAGTGGCTCCTGAATGTTGCTTTTAATAATATTGGGATTTTGTTGTCAAAGGTCTGAGATGATTAGAATAAAGTTTGCATGTGGAGACTGCGGCTTCAATATTATTTCTGCTGTGAAAAACATATGGTCGATGTCAGCAAGAACAAAATAGAATTCGCACGGGTAACCAAAGCAAAATATTTTACTTACAGATTAATTGGTTCAACAATAATTTAATTTTAATGATTGCTTGATCAACAATAATCTATTCAACAAGAATCAGGGTAGTAATCTATTCATACTTAGGTTCATGAACTTGTTTTCTTAGTTGTTAATGATGCGATAGTAACTTGTTTTTCCAATTAACTGAGACTGAGTAACTCTTCTCGTATTTTGCTCCAGGCTTTGCTATTTTTGGATCACGTGACAGAAGCAAACTCGTTCTAATCTGAAAAGAAAATGAATTGAAAGTTTGTAACTCCAAGTCCAACAGCCAACCAAACAGGTTCAGCATGATAACAATTAACAATCCCTCAACATATATATGGAGTGTGGTTATCAATATTTATTCTGATTTTGACACCTGATCTGGAGAGAAACGAATATACCACAGCGTTACCATAGCTCATTAGTGGCACATGGTCATGACTCATCAAGTCAAGCCGCCCACTTCTAAGTTCCACCTCATTCGTCATCACCTTCAAACCATAATAGTAAAGACTCATCCAATATTAATCCATGTATGAGTACTCCTAAATAATTGTCATATCCTTACTATATATATATATATATATATATATATATATATATATATATATATATATATATTGGGTACACATGATTAGTCTAATACTCACTTATTACTCAAATACAAATCAATTCATGCCTAAGACCACGTTTTATTGCTAAATTTTTGGTTTGCTAGTAAATGAAAAGTTACTTCACTCCCTTCAAATTTTCGCGTTCTTTAATTATTTTTCCCTGCTTGAGTTAGAACATCGTAAAAATTATATTTATATTACGATTTAAAAACTTTATAATTCTTATTTTTATATTCAGGTACGATATATCCTCTCGTACTCATACCTTAGTTATACAAATTTTGTCATAACCTATACCTATATTCATACTGACACCAGTACTCACACTCGTATCCATGCAACTTCACAACACCCACCTCAAAATGGACGCAGCAGCAGCAGTATGAAAAATACAACTATTATTACTACTTCTAGTCACAAATAATCAAATATATATTTTTAAAAATTTAGAATCAATCTATTGAATTAGGTTGATCATTATCAACCACAAGTCTATCCCAAAAATTCAGGAAGAAAGAAATAAAATTTACGTATATCATACAAACAAGCGCGTAAGAACGTATGTATGGATTTAGAATAAGCAAGAATTTTATTGGTTCAAGACTCTTCTTTCAAAGAATAAAAGAAAAAGCAAACGTTATACAACTATTTGTTAGCTAAAATAGCTTTCTCATTCAATTTCATTTTTATCAGAAAATATTGAAGCATCCTCCTTCCATATCAGGTTACTATAACCAAAGATTCTTGCAAAACAAGTAATCAACTGCTCCTGTATTATTTCTTCAGCAGGAAGGACAACATTTGTCTCCCTTCTCAAAGATGTCACTTCTTTATCTGTAATACCACAGGGAACAATGTACCTAAAGTAGGTCAAATCAGGATCAATGTTAAATGCCATCCCATGAGAAGTGATTCCGCTCGATATCCGAACACCAATTGCACCTATCTTCCTTTCTGCAACCCAAACCCCAGTCTCACCAGTTTGTCCAGGACAAGCTTTCACACCATATAAAGCTGCCAGTTCAATCATAGTTAACTCAATTTTTTCTACAAAACTTCGAGCACCAAGTCCCATGTCACGAAGTGATATAATAGGATATAAAATGGCTTGGTGTGGACCATGAAATGTAATGTCCCCTCCCCGTTGTGTGTAGTGAAGTTCAGCTCCAATTTGTTCCAGATCGGACTGGGGGATTAATAAATTGTGAACAGTTTGCCTTTTGCCAACAGTGTATGTAGGTGGGTGTTGCAAAGACAGAAGAGTATCACATCTAATATGAGATTTTCTATCCAAGACCAGCTTTTCCTGCAGTTTTAATGCATCCAAATAGTTGACTACTCCCAGTTTCCAGACCTCAAGGGTTCGCAAAACCCTCATTCCCTGTTCATGATAACATTAGTAATTACATAATCTACTTTTATTACCTAGTCTAATTTCCAATGTCATACCATAAGTTCTATAACCAACTTCTGTGAGAGTGAGACTGTTCCCAGCATTGAAAAGCCCACAATAGAGAAAGGAAGGGTGGGTTTTAAAAGGTCACAAATTGTTTTAATTAATCGAACCAACTTCAAGCCAAAAAAATGACAAATTCTCCATAGGCCATGGTACTGTGAGCTTGAACCTCCCATAATGATCTAAGTTACAGTCTGTATTCTATAATCTAGTATGCATTTAGTTTCTCCATTGTTATAACGATTTTTTATGTCTCAACTTTAGAAACTTAATTCATATGTATTTTCGGTATCCTGCACCAAAAATTACCTATGTACATCCACTTCCCAGAATCAATTCGCTAAATTAGGTTGATTTCTATTTACAAGTTATGACGCAACAGTACACATTCAGAGCTCCAGAATGCACTACAATTTCCCAATCTACATAAACAGTTCGAATAAACATTTCAACAAACATTTAAAGGGCATTTTCAGCAAACCCACATATTTCATAAAACGCAATTTTTTCAACAAAATTTTTTTACTAGACTCAAATGGGTTTTCAACAGTGAGCAAAATCTCAATCTAGAATTGCATATTGAGAGGTTAAGAAAGGCCTACCTGGAATGAAGAAGAAAGGACACACCTGGGATAGATAAGAAAATATAATGGGTGGGTGAAAATATTTCAACGTGTTGGTTTAGATGAGATATAAGAGTGATCTTGAATTAATTGAGATGGGTAATAAGGCACCGAGTAAATTGAAGAATATTGCGAGGACTAGTAATGGAGGTGGTCAACCTGATGTTGAAAGTGCTGCAGTATTACTATTGAGCATAACTGCATTGCAGAGATATAAGAAGGAAACGAGGATAATGAAAGATGAAGGATGAGAAGAAAATAGGGAAGACCGTGGTGACAAGTAGAAAATTTCATTAGGTAATACTAATAACAATACTAAAAAAAATCTTTTAGCTACGGAAAAATCATATTTACATTAATGGCTCTTTGTTTTTTGTTAATATAATGAAACTTTCTACTTAAAATGAAAGAGTTTAAATTTGATATACAATGTACATTATTATTTAATTATCTGTTAAAAATGTTTACAAAAAAAAAATCATGTGTTAAAATATCGTTAAAAAATTATAATGGTTGTGATAATGAACTTTTTTTAATGATTTAGTAATATATAATTTAACATAGGAAAATAATTATCTCATGTTGCATCAGATAGACAAAATGATGGGGTCTACTATTTTTTATTTTTTTTGAAAATATAATGGACTCCACTATCTTGTTTCTGTTGCATGAGATAAATATATCCGTTTAATATATTATAAAAAATTATATTGATAATACCCTAAAATTAAATCTAATAAAAAATATTCATAAATTAGGAACAATTATATTTACTATCATTTTAGACTTATTACTTTTATTAGTTGATTAGTTATAGTTGGATCAATTTAAAATTAACAGTTAAAAAATGTGAAAAAAATTAATTATTATTGATTTTAATTTAATCCAACGTTAACCAATAAAGTATAAGAGTAATAAAACTAAAATGTTAGTAAGTATAACATCTGTAATTAACAATATGTGAATTCTATTTACAATGTAAGAGTTTGAGATTTGTTAGAACGATTTTATGGCAAAAACTAAAGAACGCTTTACATATTCGTCTAATGTCTTAAGAACAATAGTTAACTAGTATATTACCCGTGCGATTCACGGGAAAAAAAGATCAAAATTTTTGTCGTCGACCGTGATTGGTTAATCGCACTACAAATTTTATACTTACAAAAATCTGTGTTGCTATTTTGTTCTATATTTCAGGTGAAAAAAATTACATCATTGACACAGAACTTTGCAAATATCAACCACAAAAAAAAAATTGCTATTTAGAGAGATAATTAATTTTGCATACAACTACATCATAATACACCATAATACGCTATAATACACCATGTTAACATGAGGAAGGGATATAAAAAAATGCATACAAATTATTGCTAACTATAATATTCATAAACAAAATCAAGGTAACAATAACACCAAGCAAATATGGATTTAAAAGATCAGCTTTTACCTATAATATAAAAACGCAATTCATTCAGTATCATTTCGTAGCAATCATTGGAGGGATGAGATCAACACTTATTAAATATTTCATTTACTACAATCAGGTTTATAAAATAAAAATAAATAATTATTTTTTTGCAAGGATTAATGTCGTTAGTCATTGGAATTTCACAAATTTATATTTACAAAAATTGAAATCAGATTTAGTAATTTAACTATAAAAGAAGAAGGATAAAATTTCAATTAAATTATAAAAAGATATTGGCGGGTCGGCCCTCTCGGCCGAGCCCAGTTTTTCACCTCTAACTGTCAGCATTTTATATAAATAATTTTTTTTTGCAAGGATTAGTGTCGTTAGTCTTTGGAATTTCACAAATTTGTATTTCCAAAATTTGAAATCAGATTTAGTAATTTAATTATAAAAGAAGAAGGATAAAATTTCAATTGAATTATAAATATATATTGGCGGGTCAGCACGGCCTCTAACTGTCAGCATTTTATATAAATAAATATTTTTGGCAGATGGTCCCCAAATTAAGCTTTTAATTATATTGGACAATTTCCAAAACCATTATTCCTCAAATTAAGCAACGGTTTGATGACAGATGGTCCACAAATTAAGCTTTAAATTATATTGGACGATTTCCAAAACCATTATTCCTCAAATTAAGCAACAATCATTAAACCTGAGATCTAATTAATTTCTACGTTGAGTAAACAGTAGATTAGATGCAGCGTTTTGATGACAGATGGTCCCCAATACACCATCGTTCCAAATTCAAATTTAAATTCAAAAAATGACAATGTAGAAAGAAAAGAAATAGAAAGAAATAACCTGTTAAGATTTGTTGACATATAAATTTCCAAAACGATACGCTATCAGTTGTTAGTATGTGTTTTTTGAATTATTCAATGAGTCGGATTATAATTTTTGTTTACTTAGTCTTTGTTTGAGTAAAATCGAACTTGTAAAATTAAACTTGTAAAAGACGAACCAAAACATAATCAAAGATTGGATTAATCATTTGATTATTAACATTTATTGCACAACATGTAACACTACAATTTTTGCTTTTAATATTAATTAACGTCGTTATTGATACTGGAAGATATAACTAATTTTTTAGCAGCAAGAGAGTACTATTTTTTTTCGCTAGAAGTTTTGAATCAATGTTAAAAAAAAACAGTAGGAGAGTATTGGGATGAAAATTCTGTTGTGGACCTGTACTTCTCCCCTTTTAAGTTTAGCTATAATCCTCAAAATGACAACACAAGATACCATTAAGGTTTCATTGAAGCCCAACATCATGAGGCAACATATCACATTGGAAGTTCACCACAAGCAACATACATCATTCTTATAACAGTTTACCTCCAGCACAATATCTATCAAAAGAAACTCCTAGTTCTTCTTTCTATTGTGTGGCGGTTCACATACATCCAGAGGGAAATTTATATACTAAGTCAGCCATATTACAAAATATCTCCTAATCATATAGCCACATATATCACAACTACACAAATTCATCAAAATAAAACATATTTTTCAAAATACAACATGCTTCAAATTATACTTCATGTGATAGTTCCCACAAGTGCACAACATCCATAACCACATAACAGCCCTATTCTTGCCCATTGCATCCTTCAATGGCCTCGCCTTTGTCATTTTTTTCTCCTGCTTTAGCAGCCCTAAAAAGGGTGAGATTTTTAATGTCAATAACCCATGGAATTCTTGAGGTCTTTCCCTCAACAACTCGGATTCTTCTCTGCCTAAGTGCCTAAGAAAATATTGGCAACATATGAACAGAAGAAAAGATATAAAGCCTAATGACATTATAACAGTTAATAAACAAACATATATGCATCATTCTCTTCTCATTACACCTCCATGAGCCTCTCTTGCTCAAAGTAGGACATCTCCTAAGAGGTGTTTCTCATCTCTTTACCTGGCCAAGGATGTATAAGTACTTTGCTCAGCATATCTTCATTCTCTTAGCTGATCTTATACTTTTCTCATATCAGCTTTTAGAGATGCACACCTGGCAGCCAATCTCAAAGCATAGCAATCAACTATTATTGCTAAATCAGTCATTTATACATTAGGAGACATACATTCATTGTTAATGCCTTAATAGGTACCAATCACAGATTTTTATATGCAGAAATTAAGAATAAACAAAGGCCATTACCATATCAACAATTCACCATATTCATACATGTATGTAATAAGTACTGAAAAAAAAACACTTCATCAAGAACATTTCATTTCTATGCAACAACTCTTCCACGGTTTCAAAGGCTCTCTCTATAGCCTTCTTTCAGACCCACTCCAGTTTTATGATTCCAAAATTGAATACCCAACCTACAGCCTTTTCTTGCACTTAAGTTAAAGAGGTTCTAGTTTCCTTTGAAAGAAAAAGAAGTGGAGTTCAACAGCGTTCATCAATATACCAAATTAGATAGGAAATGTACATCACATTTTATCATCAATATACCTATTGAAAAAAAAAATCGAATAAAAAACATAATAGAGAAGTAAAAAATAAAAAATGTTTCTTTAAAAAAAACATACCCCTAAAACATTTTATCCTTCCCAGTTGAACTATTATGATGTTATGAGGAGTGTCGTTGTTTGCCAAAAAAGATTGCATCTCATCCACATAATGCTCCCACAAAGTGCACTTCAGCTTGTGACCTCTATATATGAGTTGCAGCAAGTAAAACGTTATACACGAAATATATAATATATAAGGTAATAGACGACAACAATTTTTTTTTTACTCTAACATTTTAAATACCTCAGGTTGTCAAGCTCCAACAACACCATTTTTGTCTTCCTACCAGACACCACACTTTCACAAACTTCACCAATTCCTGAGATTAAACCAATGACGTCTACAAACAAAAAAAGGGCAGCAAAGAGTTTGTAAGAAAAATGGAAAAATAAAAGAATGAAAAACAGTGAGGAAAAATATATTACCCACTCCAATGAGTAAAGATTTATCTCCTGTGTTGTCCAACCACCCTTAGCGCGCCTTATAGGTCCAGTGGTCCTTCTGTACAGAAAATATTCATACATTGAAAATCAATGCATAGAGATCATAACACAGATACAAAATGGATAAGTTCTCCATAGTATAAAGGGAATCAGCTGCTATTTCAGAATGTGAAACTATGCCAATAATAGATAGGCATAAAACACTGCCCTCAAGGTAACCACATCATGATAATTCATGACTAATACTGCAATGAAAAAGTAAAGAACTAAATTATGTTATCGATTTGAAGGCGATGTTGATGCTGTGCTACATATCCCTGGAGACTTGTGAATTGCACTGCCACTGCCTTCAGAAACAGAGGAACAGGAAATAGATTGTTTATTCTCCATACAACACTCCTCTGATTTCACCTCAGCCATATCCTTCAAAACCATCACCAAAACCCAAAATCCTAATCAACAAACCATTGAATATATCTTAAACACAAAAAACAAAAAAAAGAAAAGAAAAATTCTCCAGGACCCATCACATAATAACCATCTAAAACCCTAAAAACCTAGCTCACGTTGCAAAATTTCCAAACTTTCGCAGGGAAACACAAATATAAACATAACCCAGATCTTAAAATCCACTATCAGATAAAAAATATACCGAACCCATCTTTGTCTCCACACCCGAATCGATTAAAATTCAATAGTAACTGATAGTAAGCTACTTAAAAAAACAAGTACGACAGCAGCAACAAAATTGCAACGGAGAAAAAAAAATTAAAAACGAAGACAAAAAGCAGCAACAAAATAAAAAACGGCGAATGATATGAAATGTGGGAAAAAAACAACGCTAAGAACGACAAATGCCAAAAAAATGACGAACAGCAGCTGGGAAAAACGCTAAGAACACGAAGAACAGGAGAAAGAAGAAGATGTGAGCAATCTGGAGGAACCACTAAAAAAAATGAGAAGGCCTGTAGGTTTTGTTAAACGTTTAACATTCCAAGGGAGAAAGTAGGTGAAGATTAATTAAGTTGTCAGTTTTTAAATTTTGAAAATAAGATGAGTTGTGTGTTAATTTTTAAAATTTGAAAATAAGATGAGCTATGTCCTAATAAAGATGAGAACAGATCTGCACCATTGATTTTGGACAGCAAATCTTGGCCATCAATTTTGAGTCCAGATTATAATTTCTTTTTGAATTTTTTTATTCCTTGAATTACCCAAAAAGGAAACTTTTGGAATTGTGGAGTGTGAAAACAAACACGTGTCAGAAGGAGAAGCAGCCATGTGTCAGAAGTTGCCAAAGAATGGCTTTGTCTTAGAATATAAGATTAGCAGTTATCTTATGCAGTGTATAAGTACTATAGATTTAAACACAATTTTAAAAATATAAATAAAAAGTATTTTTAAAAATTATGAAAAACTAAAATAAAAATATACTTAATAATAATTGATTTAGATAAAACCTTAAAATTAATATTAAAAAATATTTAAATTGTAAAAATATGTTCATGATTGAATTTAGTAAATTTGAATTTAAATTTTTTGAAAAAGATAAATTAATAAAAAATGATTTATTAAAAAAAAAATAAGTTAAGTCACTTTCTAAATGATATATTATAATTTAATATATAGATATGGTCATATGGATAACTTAGGGTGATAAACGAGAGAGGGGCGTTTGGCTCGGCTCGTGAAGGCCTGAGCTTACATGCCTAATATTGGTTGTTGGAATCAGGCTTGGACTTTTATAAAAACTTGTTTAGTAAAAAGACCTCAGGCTCCAATTCAAATGCTCGGCCTTGAAGCCTCTCAAGCTGGCCTAGCATATTGATTTTTATTTTTATTTATATTTTTTTATACTATTTATAATAGCCCTCTCTCCTTTCAATCCATTTCACCCCTATTTTATTAGTTAAACAGACTTTTTGAATGATTTTGTTCTATATTATGCTGTTTGGATATACATTGAATTTATGAATATTTATGGAATTACTAGTGTTGTTGATTGTATATTTTGTTTGGATAAATTTTTGTTGTCTTATTTATTTTTAACAGGCTAAATCAGGCTTTTATTTTTTGTAAATAAGGCAGGCCACAGGCCGATAATTATATTCATAACAGGTAATGTAACATCCCGAGCGCTGACGAGGGCGGGGAGTGATCGCCGGTGCAAAGAGGCACGGACAAGGAGCGGCTCCTGACAGGCTTCCAGTGGGGGGTTTCATGCATGAATGATTCGAATCGACACCCGAAAGAGAGGGATTCCAAAGACTGTGCAGGTGTGAGACTGCACAGTTTGGGATAGCTTATAAGAATTAATTGGTACTACCTATACAAACAAGATGCATCTGCTTTTCGGTAACCCGGATCAGAAGAACTCCACACTTAAGCGTGCTTGACTTGGAGCAATTCTGGGATGGGTGACCTCCTGGGAAGTTTTCCCGGGAAGTGTGCGAGTAAGGAAAAAACACACTGAAAAATCTCGTGTTAGTATGTAGGGATAGTCATTGATTCTTGAAGCGGTCGGCCGTTACAAGTGGTATCAGAGCAGGGCCTCTCTTCCAGTACGGAGTGGTTCGAGGACGAACCAGGCGGAAGCTGGTGGTCATGTAACATCCTGAGCGCTGACGAGGGCGGGGGAGTGATCGCCGGTGCAAAGAGGCACAGACAAGGAGCGGTCGACCGTTACAAGTGGTGTCAGAGCAGGGCCTCTCTTCCAGTACGGTGTAGCAATTCTGGGATGGGTGACCTCCTGGAAAGTTTTCTCGGAAAGTGTGCGAGTAAGGAAAAAACACACTGAAAAATCTCGTGTTAGTATGTGGGAATAGTCATTTGATTCTTGAAGCGGTCGGCCGTTACAGGTAACAGGCTTGGTAAGGCCGACACATTTAAATACAGACTTAGTCTTTTAAGACCAAAGCTCGGCTCGGCTTGGTCCGTTAACACCCCTACTTATTAATCACTTCAGATATGATATCTAATTTTATTGAAAATTTGAAAACATTCTCAGTAAAAATACGAAATTAATAGAAAATGAATAACAAAAAAAATCTGGCATTGTCCATATTTAAAAAATAATAATGAAATTAATATATAATTTAAAAAGGATTAAATTAATATATAATTTAAAAAATAATACAAAATAATAAATTATTTTTGAAAGAAGCACAAAATCATCTATCAACCATTCTTTAATAAGGGTTGAAGAAAATAATAACATTCATTCATAACCAACTATCAAATTGACTGAATAATTTGTTGAAGAAGGCTTGGCAACCATGAATTAAATATGAGAGTGCAAACATGTTTAATAATTAGTGTCACAGTATTTTTCAAAATTTCGTATCATATTATTATTCTAATAATATTTACATGTCTGTAATGATAAATATACACCTAAACGTATTTTTATCAACATGTTTAAACAATATCATTTTGGCTAAAATTATTTTCCAAATGAAAATTTACTAAGCATAAATTACTGTTTACAATTTTGTAAACTCATTTTTCAACAAGATTAAATTTAAACAACGAAATTAGAGTAAAATTAAGTTTGTATATTTAATCCAATTACAACACTTTTATGCATATTATAAACAATTTAATCATACTTTATATCACGTAATAAAAACCCATAAATTGTTTACCAAAAAAAAAAAAAAAAAAACCATAAATCTCCTTTTAAAATTCAACATTTTTTACTCGACCGGACCTACCCTCCCCCTCCTGAAACCCAATATTATGTATAATTAAATAATAATAAAACACCGACCATTACCGTCCAGTCAAAGTGTCCAATCCCAGCAAAATTGAATAAAAGTGAGAACAATTCCTATTTGTTAAGTCTGTGCTGTGTTGGCTCTGAAACCATATTTTTTATTAGGAAATTCGTTCTCTATATATATTTAGAAAGGATATATTATATTTACAAATTATTTATCTATAAATTCTTAATACTTCAATATAAATAGTTTGGAAAAATATGTAAAAAAACAAATTGTAAATATAGTTCGCTCGTATTAAAATATATAAATTTAATTTGTTTACTCCAATTATGTATTAGCTTGTTCGAAACATATGTCTTTTTCTACTTTTTTGAAGAAAAATAAAAATAAAAAGGTAATATCATTTTGGATTGTCGGGAGGAGGGAGTAGGAAGAAAAGCCAAGTGTTTGTTGGTGTTGAAATCGAAGCGAAGTCGTTTCCGTTGAATCGGAGCAGAGACCAATGGGGTTGTGGCTGTGGGATGCTTTCATCAATTGGTTGCGCAGGTGAACCTACTACTAAACTTGTCTTTTTCTTTTCCTTCCTCTTTCGATGCTCTCTCACAAAATTTGAAACTCTTTTTTCAATACTTGTATTGCTTTCCTTGTTTTTTGAGCTCACTCGCATGGTTTTACTGGAATGTGTTACTTCATGTGTACCTAATATTTCTTAATGTTTGTGTGAGATTGACGATGTCATAAGTTGTTTATTTTCAATACACAGTATTAAGTTGGTAAAATTACTTGCTAGGGTTCACCTACTATATTATATCGTGTTGCTCTTGCATTTCAACTGAAATGCTACTTAGTATTTCTGTGATTTTTCATTCAACTAGATGATTAAGTGACATTTATGGTGGATTTTTTAATAATTTGTTTCTTTCTCTTGTCCAATGGTAGTCTCTTTAGCAAGCATGAAATGGAGCTATCTTTGATTGGCCTTCAGAATGCTGGGAAAACATCACTTGTAAATGTTATTGCAGTATGTGACCTGACCTTCTGCATTATTAACTTTCTATTTTATTTTTCTTCTTTTCCTACCATGCTGATGCTGAGTTTCTGTTTGATATTCTTCTGAAGACTGGGGGTTATAGTGAAGACATGATTCCTACGGTACACTATCTTTCTTTGAAATCACTGATAACTGTGTAACTAGAGGATGTCCTGCTGCAAATTTGTGGTTAGTTTATTTCTCTGGAAATTTACTTGATGAAGTTGTTATCTACAGGTAGGATTTAATATGAAAAAGGTAACTAAAGGTAATGTGACAATAAAGTTATGGGATCTTGGAGGTCAACCAAGGTTTCGCAGTATGTGGGAGAGATACTGCCGTGCTGTTTCAGCTATTGTGTACGCCCTCTAAACACTTATTGCATCAGTGAATGAGATCTAGCCTTTTCTTGTCTGATGAAATGTTTTCATATACCTTTCTCGTTGTAAGTTGTAAAGGCCCCGTCTTTAATCTCATTTGATTCAATATTTTCTGCTGTAGTTTTTCAGCTTTAAAGAAATAGGATTGAGAAATTTCAAATTTTTTCAACAGAAATAAAATTAGTTCTATAAAAATATTTAATAAGACAAAGAGTATAAAGTTTGTCACATTGATTAATTTGCAATTTGTTCTGAACCAGTGGATTAGGCCCCATATACGTCCTAATCCTCACTCCCATTACAGGACAATATGTCCACCTCATGGCTCATGGAACATCTCTCCACTCTCTTTCTCCAAACAACCACCTTCCACCCCTGCCGTATGATTCCCCCTACATTTGGCACACACACACTCATGCACCTCAAAACTGTTTGTGCTACCTCACACCTTCTATAATTTCTCATAACCACCTATTTGTGTCACACTCTTAACCTAAAAGCAAGGATCATTTGCTTCCTGCATTGTAGCACATACCTCTCTTTGAATACCCTGAGCACTCTGCAGGTGAACAACTTCACTGCCCATTCTCCACTGTATACCCGGCAGAAACCATCACACAAACACACAGACCGATCAATAATGGAGACCTGGTCATTCCGTTCAAATCACTCCATCTTGGTCCATACATCATCAACCCATCAGTTCACGCCCTTGGGCTGAACATCTCCGAACACAATTTATATATAGTTCGTATATTGAAATGAGTGATCATTCAATTTAACCTTCTAACTAAGATCCCATGCTGCAACCCTCACCTTGCTGCTCTTTGTCTGAGAGATTTATTGAGCTCAGCATGAACTTGATTTTTGCCGATGAGGCATTTTGCCAATATACATCAAAGTAAAAAAAAAAGAGTGACACATTATCAATTGTATGCCAATCAGCATCGCAGAGGAACATAATTGCATAATGTGAAAACTATCGGGATAATATTGTTACATTTGAAAGGAGTACCAAAATTGAACTTTAATGCAAACTAAGATTGCCAATAGTTTAATTAAGCCGTTGTTGTTTGCATCAAACACATCACAAATTTTCAACTTTATACTTATTTTTTTCCTGTTTATTGTAGAATTTCATTTTAGACTACGTATATGGTGAAGTGTCTTAAAGTACGATTATCATCAATTTTTTATGTTGGAACTTGCAGTTATGTTGTTGATGCAGCTGATCATGACAATTTACCTGTCTCTAGAAATGAACTTCATGACTTGTTGAGCAAACCTTCTTTAAATGGGACTCCCCTGCTGGTTCTGGGTAATAAGATTGACAAACCAGAGGCTTTGTCTGAGCAAGACATGACAGAACAGATGTAAGTATTGTGTCTGGATATACAAGATAAGATGGTCAGATGTACCTAGCCAAGCTGAGTATGGTGTTGACTAAATCAATAGTATACGTAAACATTTCCCTTGTAGCAAAGTAGAAATTACTAGTCAAATAATGCCATGTCAGATTATTCGTAGCTGCTAATTTATCATGTTTGTTTTTTTAAAGAAATAAATAAATAAATTTGTTGTGTCAGCCGCAAGAAGAAAATACTTCTGTGGTAACAGCAGAAGTATTTTCCCCTTATTATAATCTTTTGTTTAGGTACCTTAAGAATAGCCACTATGCAATGCGTTTTATTCTCTCTGCACCTGCTAATGTGGTTTGATGCTTTGATTTGAACAATATAGCTTTTCAGAATGCACTCCTACTTTTCTTTCATTAATTTTGCTTCACATGTGCAGGGGACTGAAATCTATCAATGATAGAGAAGTTTGTTGCTTCATGGTCTCATGTAAAAACTCCACCAACGTTGATACAGTTGTTGATTGGCTTGTAAAACATTCTAAATCAAAGAACTGAAGCTCGCGTCCAGCCTATGAATCTGTGTATGTTGCATTACAGACTCTGATAGCAAGCTGATTGAAGTGACTTCGTTGTTAGTGTGATACTAGTTTTTCTTTTTTTCTCTTCCTTTTTTGACTGGCTTACATCAAATCAGACATATGTAATTTGATATGGAGGTTTTTACGTATTAAATCTGAGTGTAGTAAATTATAATGGAAGATAATTGCTAGTGCTACATGTGTACTGGATTTGAATAAATCATTATGTTCATACATCTGTTTTTAAGATTTGATATTTTTGGGTGCCAGGCGTCGTGTACAAGTACAACAATTCACTATTATATTTCAAACAATATTACTTCATCTTAGAATGTCTAGATTCAAAAGATGTCCTGAGAGTTGAGATCGCTTGCCACAGTGTGGGTATTGAAAGTCAAAGCAACTGCTATAAAGTGCCTCGTGGCAAGCTGTCTGTCTTCTCTTAGTGTGCTCAACAAGTGAAGAAAAGACCCTGCAGCAAGGGTCCCTTCTAGGACTAGGGAAGTGTAAAAATTTGGGGCATTCCGAGAATCGAACTCGGGACCTCTCGCACCCAAAGCGAGAATCATACCACTAGACCAAATGCCCATTCTGTGACACTTACGTGTAAGTTAATTTATCTATATTTTTTCTTAAATGTTTATATATCTGCAGTTTTGTAGGAAGATTGCATGAAAATGAGAAAATGGCATGAACTACTAAGTAGCAGCTGGTCCTATGTCCATTCATGGAAATGGGACCACTGGATGAAGCTAACATGTTTTCCCAGGGAAGTTGCCTATGAGAGTTAACTTATTCATTACTCTGGTTTTATATGTTTAAGATCAACTATGACTCACCATAGCAGCAGGTCCTATGTCCTTTCATGGAATTGGGACCACTGGATGAAGTTACCAATTCCTGAAGTTAACATGTTTTTCTAGGAAGGAAGGTGTCTCAGAGAGTTTGCTCATTGTCTACTCTGGTTTAAATATTTTGTTTTATATTTTAAGATCAATTATGACTCAGAACACAGTCTTCTATTACATTTTCGGTGGCAAGCTGTTGGTACTGAAAATGTGAAAAACTTCCGGCCAAAACTGTTCATGTATCACATGGTCACATCATTCATCCCAAGGAATTTCACTTGCAGCCCCTGATGCTTATTTATTTAATTAACTTATCCAGCTGAGAAGTCAAACTTGTCAACTTCCAGATCTTCAAAAACAAGAAGAAAAAAAACTAATGTTAATTGTTATAACTAAACCAATTTAACAAGTCAAGCTTGCCAGCTTCCAGATCTTCAAAAAACAAAAAATAAAACTGATGTTTATCGGTATTTAATTGAACCAATTAACAAGTCAAGCTTGCCAGCCGTCAGATCTTTAAAATATAGGATAAAAAAAAGGGGGCATTCCGAGAATCGAACTCGGGACCTCTCGCACCCAAAGCGAGAATCATACCACTAGACCAAATGCCCTGCGTGGTAAAGTGAGTCTTTTTTAATTATATTACAAGGCAAGAAGTTGATTCGGTGAAATTATTTTAAAATAGGTTCTAAGTCATAAACATTACTTCTGATTTATACCACTTTCTCGTGCCACGTGTAATCACTACAATGGTAACACACAATTTTAATATCGTTTTAGGATGTACAAGACGTATTGCAAAATTTACCTTATATAAATAATAATAATAAAAGGTAAAAGATTTCTGCAATCAATGGATATAAGTTATCCTTAGTGAGTCCAAAATGACGTCGTTTTGAGACAGAAATCAAAATATTTTTATAATTTTAATACATTGCAGAGTTATATTAGTCTTTATCATTATAATTTTTTAATCTTATAACACCAAAATAACGTTGTTTTGAGCTCAATGAAGATAATTTTATCTCCGGTGACCGTAGAAATACTTTTTCCAATAATAAAAGGCTAACCCATACCCATCCTATATTTTTCATATATTATTACGCAAAGGATGAGTTTATAATGTTAGGCCGAAATTAATGACAATATTAATATCCATATCCAATAGGTTCTTATTATGTGAAATTTTCTGATCAGGAATCAGGATTGAAGCAAAAGAACATTCAAATCGCAATCTTATCACCATTGGGTACCCTGGTTCATCTCTTTTATGAGAGAAATACAATATAGGCAAATCAAACTAATGCATCAAAAAACACTTTGATAAAGTCATGCAAACCCCACAATGCTGAGTTTGAGGCGTCACTTGGATTTGTGTCTATGCTCCCATTTCCTATAGCAGGGTAAACTGTAGGCCCTATTCACTGTGTTTACCCAATGTTTTCTCAAGTTCCTTTTTTCTTGTTTTTGTTAAATTTGCTTAAACTGGAGCGTCTGCCAGGAAGTTACCTTTTCAAACCTTTCAATTTTTATTTTTATTTTTTGATAAATCACAATCCATATCATGGTGAGGGCGTGAGGCTAATTCCCCAAAAGAAAATTTTTTACATTCACGTAGACTTGAACCTAAGATCACACTTAAACGGAATCAAGCATATACTAATTGAATCAATATGTGTACCTTTCACTAACTATGATAAAAGGAAACTCGGCAGTTAGCTGCAATAACTTCACAGTATTTTATGTCTTCACATCCCTTCTTTTCCTACAATAAAAAAATTGAATTCATCGAAGGCAATAAAAACTTACAAACATATAACAATAAACTAAATGTAGGGGTGTTAAAATGAGTTGACACGACACGTCACGAATTTGACATGATACGAATACACGTTACACGAACACAACATAAATTTTTATTCGTGACAAAATCTTCAACACAAATACGAAATGAATTTTTTGCGGATTGACACGACACAAAATTGTGGATCAAAATAGTAATTGACAAAAAAATGATAGAAATTTAAAAAAATTTAAATAAAATAAAATAAAAAAATATGGATTAAACAACATATGACACGTCATGAAATTTTTACAAGTTATTTTTGTTCAACACGAACACGACACAAATATTTTTACTAGTGGACTTGAATATCAATTTTGATATCGTGTTATAAGTTAACCCACCCACATATCATAACCTGTTTTGAATGTTTATTTCCCGTGGTATTAGTTGGGTGGTTGTTTTCATGTACGATCCTACATATAGTCGGATGGTTAGTTTTCATTATATTTGTGGAAAAATTGTAATGTGATTAGTATCAATAATGACCCTACCATACATAAAAAAGTCGAATATTAAAATCAGAGAAAAGCCACTTGGCACCAACCCAGGTTGACCTTTCATAGTCAATGATATTTTTTTTAATATAACCGAACTTAAAGTATCTTTTCGAGGTGAATCAGATTTTTTTCGGTGTCCTCACAAGTTTGACTCTTTAAGTTACTTATTGAACTAATCCAGAATTCGGACCGTGATCTGGGATTACGGTATTTATTGCCCTACCCCAACGTGGTATTTGGTGGTACTCGAAGCGTGAATGATATTCATAATAATTCAAGTTAAATATATATCTTGACCATTGGATTGGATCACTCTGATGCTAACTTACATAAAATTAGGACAAAATGATTGCTCTACATTCTATATAAATCTTGTTAATTTCATCCACAATTCATAGTCAAATAATCACTGCATCTATATCCGCAATTCACTGCTGTCCACAATTCTCTCTCTCTCTCAGTTTTTCATCTCCTCCTCTGATTTCTTTTATCTCTTTTGGGATAAGAGCAACTTTGGCAAAGGAAAATCCTTGCGGAAGAGTGCATTTTCCTCCCTCACCCTCTCATTCTCTGTTGCTCTTGCTCTTTCTGGTCAGGCCCGTCAGGGTCTGGTCATCTGTGGATATTGGAAGCCATGGCCAGTTTTGCAGGAACAACACAAAAGTGCATGGCTTGTGACAAAACCGTTTACCTTGTTGAAAAGCTAACCGCAGATGGCCGTATCTATCATAAGGCCTGCTTCCGATGCCACCATTGCCGGAATACCCTTAAGGTATAAACCCTTATGTAATGTATGTAACAATATACATTGTATGTTTAACATTGTGTATGCATCTATAATGCTCAAATAGAGGATATATGAATATGATGAAGGGTTGTATATTTCCATTGGTAGGGAGAAGCATTATGAAACCATATCAGCAGGGATTATTTATCCTTTAATGATGATTATGGCTGCATTACATAGTTATATATATATATATATATATATATATATATATATATATATGTGTGTGTATATGCATGTCATCCTCTTTCTGTTTAGGTTTTTCCACTCATACTAATCATGTGCTATATAAGGCTATTGTAGTTGATAAAAATGTTTAGCAGCTTTCATTTCCCTTAATTCCAAGGGCCCAACAAACAGATGTCTCTGTTGAAGAATTTACTAGACTACCATTCTCAAAAGTTTAGTGTATCAATTAGTCAAAGTCCATTTATTAAATTAGTTAGACAAAGCTTTCAAAATGTGACCGAACTTAGTTCATGTTAGTTAAAAAAATAAAAAAATAAAAAAGGTTTTCACGGCTAGCCCGCTACAGTTAAGCCTCCAAAGTTGACCAAATGATACTCCAATATTTTTTGAGAGAGTTGTAACTTTGTTTGCAGCTCGGCAACTTCTGTTCTTTTGAGGGGGTGCTCTACTGCAGACCTCACTATGATCAACTCTTCAAGCGAACTGGTAGCCTGGACAAAAGCTTCGAAGGTGAAATTTACTAGTAAACTAGAAACAGAAATCCCATGTGAAAATCATAATAGACTTAACTATTTTTGTTTTTATTTTTTTTGCCTCTTATTCTCATCATCACAGGAACACCCAAAATTCAGAAACCAGAAAGACAGAACACTGAAAATGAGGTTATTTCTCTGTAGCATTTCTTGCCAAACTAAGTGAACATTCTTTTGGATTCTATCTCTTTCTTCATTTGTTGGGTAGCGAGTATACTTCATTTGTCATGTCAAGTTTGCCATTTTCATTGATTTCATTATTTACTCTCTCTCTCTCTCTCTCTTTTTCACTGACATGTAAATGGAACTGGATAATTTTAACAGAATGCCAAGGTACTCGCAAACGTGTTCTTGGGCACCAGAGACAAATGTGTGGTTTGCAATAAGACTGTCTATCCCACTGAGAAGGTAACCTTTTAATTGACTATTTTACTCATCTTCCTCCTAATTATTAATACTAATATGGTTTTGTTATTCTGTTGAAGGTTACGATTAATAGGAATCCCTACCACAAGAGCTGCTTCAAATGTACCTATGGAGGTTGTACTATAAGCTCATCTAACTTTGTTACACATGAGGGAAAACTCTACTGCAAACATCATCACATTCAACTTTTCAAAGAGAAAGGGAATTACAGCCAACTCGAGAATGACCAAGACAACAAGCATAGTATGGCTGACAACATCGCGTCCACGGGAATTCCTGCTTAATGTCTAATGTACAAGAATGCTGATCCATGCTCCAATTTCATTATGCTACAATGGTGTTGCGTTTGTAAAAATGAATGTGTTGCTGCGACAGGTTCTAAGGTGTGGGAGATGAAGTTTGCTTTGTACACGTCTTGAGAATGCTTTCAGCATTTTTATAAAAATTAGAAGGACTCTTGTAGGGGTCATTACATGGGTTAGATTGATTTTAAACAAAAGTAAAACTAAACCGATCAAGTTGAGAGAAAACTTTTTTTTCAATCTTAACCGATCCATCTCGAACATAGTTGGATTGGGGCAATCGAATTAATTTTAATTTAATTTTAAATAAACACATATAAAACTTTCATATTTAATTCCGCTTAATATGAGATTCAACCAATGACACCTGTATAAATACGCAACCACTGAACTTTGTACTAGTATTTCGCTTAACAGAAGGCTCCTACTAATATATTCCAGAAACAGTGTGATGGGGAAGAGAATGAAGGAATGAATAACAATAATTGTCAAGAATCTAACAAAAGGATAACCCATGAACAGGGTTAAACAGTGGATTACGTAGTAATGTTGAAAGTGTGGAGAAGAAAAAAAGAATAGTCGTGGGTGGAATAAACTGTTCAATACTTATGGTGACTCTACTGGCAAAAGAATATAAAGAGAATAACCTGCCAAACCACATTAAGGACCATATATACAAAAGGCAACGCTCAAGTGCAATTCACGTCACAAAGAAAGTTGTCAAGCCACAAGTATTTCGTGCTGCAAAGATTTGTCTTTGTTTGCAGGCTGAACCCATTTCTTGTTTTCTCTCAATCACTCATTCTTTTTGCTTTGATTTGATAGCTCCATTAACTAATCAAATCATTGTAAGGTCAATAAATTGTGAATGAGTCACCAAAACCCAAATTTCCAATTCAAACGCATACAACAAATCTTACGCTATCAGAGGGTGTTGTAGATTGTATCTACCGCCGAAGTATAAAGGCATCAAACGATAACACAAGGAAAATTAGAAATCTACCAATCATGTGAATGAGGCACTGTTATCTTCGGAAGCAATAGTTCATATTCATAAAAGGCAAACAATCAACGAGGGAAAAAAAAAAGAACAATATTCAAAGTCAAAATACACTTTATGTAAATCCAATTTGTGCAGAGTAATGTCTTCTTAGAAGCACGCATCCAAGAGGCAGCAGCAGCACAGCGCAGCCAAGCTGGAACAATTTACAAATTCAAACAAATTAAAATCGGTGCCTTGAAAATATTAATTTCATGAAGTCAGTAATTATTTTCTGGTTACCCAAAAAATGAGACGAGACTGAAAATTCAATAAGATATAAATGCAGTTCCTACTTCCAAGTTAGCAATTTTCGTATTAATCGAAGGAAGGTTATATTTATAAATTTTTTTGTTTTATAAACTATACTATGACCAGATATAGTATCTTGATTGAAATCTTAATTAAAGTCTGACCAGTCATAATTAATATAGTTTGTAAGAAAAAAAAATTGTAAATATAATCATCCGGATTAATTAATTAAGCATAGTTTACACGTCTTCCCGATTAATTAATTAAGCATAGTTTACACGTCTTAAGTTACTTTGTACACACTCTACGGGCCCACCCAAAAAATAAATAAAAAATTGTGCATCCATTTCGAGTATCGTGCGTGACGGAGTCTCCTCAGAGAAAAGCAAATAATATCTTGTAACCGCTGACGCACCGTAGGTTATGGTGCACCGGCAACCGCGATCGAGTAAACTAGTAGATCGTACCCGATCTGAGTCGCCACAACCAAATTCACCCATTCAATTTTTATTTTATTATTATTATTATTGCTATAGAGAGAGAGAGAGAGGACACACCAGCCTTCCAAGCAACCAGGGCTGCTTGAATTGCGTTGAGGAGGCGGAGGCTGAGCGTACTGAGGAGCATAAGGCGGCGGATAGCCCTGGGCTGGATACGCCTGCTGCGGCGGGTAACCTTGCGGCGCGTATCCCGGCGGCGGGTAAGCGTCCTTTCCATAACCTATTTAAGAAACACAAAATCACCAACTCCGATTTCCCCAAAATAATAATAATAATAATAATAAAGAATAAAAAAAGATTCACAGATCCTTAACATCCCCACAATCACAAAACCCTGTCTGTCAGACTAAGATTCAAGAAAATCCCAACCCAGCAACATAACCATGCAAGAGTTAAATAATAACTAAACTACCTACAAAAACCAAAAAGTAAAGACACACAAAAAAAAGCATTTAAGAGGAATTAGAGGACGGACCTTGGGGCGGAGGAACGCCGACGGGCGGTTGCTGCTGGTTGTAGTAACTCATTGTTTGGGGACGGGTGGATGAGAGTAGAGAGGAGTTTTAGCACAGTTTTGTTATGCGAAAATATAGATGATGAGGATGATATTTATTGAAGGTTTTTTAAGATTTGTGGTTGGCTTTTCCACGTCGGAGGTTGTAACCGAGGACAGTTTTTTTTTTTCCTTTGCTTTTGTTTGTTTCTTATTATTTTATGGGAAAGATATTTCTTTTTGACTTGGTTGTTTCTCAATTTAGATGTGATAAGTTATCTCATTCTAAGAAAGAGATAGACACAAGAAAGGAAAATTATGAGAGAGAAAGTGAGTAATTTTTTTTAATTTAAATTTTAAATAACAAAACATTTGTTTATGTCTATCTGTCATAAAATGACATAATTTATATCATTTAAAATGACAAACACTTTTTTCTTTCTTTTTTAAAAGAATAGAGAATTGTGTGATTTTATATAAAAGAAAAATGAGAAAAGTGTTTATCATTTTAAATGACATAACACTCTGTCCTTTTAAGAAAGACAGATACAGAAAAAAAATTATTTAAATTTTAAATTAAAAAAATCACTTACTTTCTCTCTCCCATGATTTCATTTTTCTGTATCTATCTCTCTCCTAAAATGACATAACTTATATCATTTAAAAAATTCAAACATCAAACCCAAGAAAAATATAAATAAAATGATACAATTCTATATCTCACATCAAACTCTGTTTTATCATTATCATGGGTTATTGCTCTGACGGTAATGAAAGAATCGTCTTGATCATGACACGTGGCAATTCAACTATAAATTGTTTTGCTGACCAACGGCCGTCACTCGGCACATTATCAAGTCGTTTTTTTCTTTTCTTTCTTAGCTTATACCGGGTAAAATGCGCGTACGTATCAGTCCCCACTTTATTTGTTTTTAATATATTTTTCGGTGAGGTCAGATTACACTTTTAATATTAACAGTGGTAGAAGAAAAAATAATTTATTAGAAAAAAATAATTTATGAAAATATAGTGGAGAATTTTTTTTTTCCTGAATAAGTCATTAAAAGATATTTGATAGGTCAAAATTATTTTGAAAATGTTGAGTTAATTTTACTTATGTTGTATTGTGTGTTAATTTTTCTACCACGTTGGAAAAAAGTAATTTCACCCCTTCAATGATAATTTTCCCCAACCATTAACATAGAAAAGCAAATAATGGAAAAAAATAAATTCCAACCATATTTTTACTTCACCTCCTATCAGTTATAGGCAAATAATTTTTCCTACCCCATTTTTCTGGAAAAAAAAATTTACCTCCTACCAAACACTCCCTAATAGTTAATCTTGTTTATATTTAATGATTATTATTTATTAACTATGTGAGTTATGCAACTATGCAAGTAAATTAATGATAAAGATCTAGTTTAAATGGAGATTTAACATATGACTTTTTATTCTTATCTTAATATATAGAAAGGAGAATCAAACTTTGGAAAGTTTGCTGACGTGTCACTCTTTCCTTCATTTTCAATTTTGTGTTCACATTTGAAAGAATTTGAATTGTTTCCTCTTTTAGTAATTTTTTTTCATTTTAATAAAATAGTTCGAAAATAAATTCCAAAATAATTCAATTTTCAAACTCAAATTATTTGGTGGCCAACAACAATGATTAATATCTCACTACTTTCTGCATGGGAAATAGTTAAGCCTATTAATTGTTAAATTCAAATTCGAAATTTGAACTGAATAGGTGAGAATTATTCAAATTCAAAACTTAAACTTTATAGGTGGGAAACTTTTCATTTCCTCCCTTCTCTCAATTACTCTTATAAATACCAAATTCTAAGATGACATCTTTATTTTTCCTCGCGCCTTTCTCAGCTCCGATACTTCACCCAAACCGCATCATTTTCCTTTCCCCTCGTTCACTCTCATTCTATTTCTCATTTTAATCTATGTTATTATTACACTTACAATCAACAAAATTAGTCATGATATCGAATTGTGGAGTAATACCAGCCAATTCTTTGGAAAGTAAAACAAATTAATTCAATATATATATACTTTTTTTTTTATAATATCAATATATATATATACTTAAAACCAAAGTAAAATTACACTTATAGTTATATTTAATTTTTTAAAAATTATATGTGGCTTTAAAATATAAATCAAGCATAACTTATTATTTTTAAATATAAAAATCTATTACATGCTGATATGGAATGGTATTGATAATTAGAGATGATAAAATGGGATCTGGAGGGCCAGCCCACCCTGCCCGCCAAATAGTAGAGTTCGTCCGCCAACACAATTTTTTTTATATTTACTGCCTAACAAATCCGTGTTTTTGTGGCTGATCATTGGATTTATTGCTGTAAAATTTTAGAAACAAGCATCTAAACCAACCTTATTCAAATTAAATATGATGCATTAAATATATGTTTTTATATGTGTGTGTATATATATATATATATATATATATATATATTAATTTTTTGAATAATTATTTATACTTATGCAATTAAGCAAATGAGTTATCTTTTGATATTACCACATTTAACTTCAAGTATAAAATGTTTGTTATATAATATTAAGCGTACCAACTGAAATATTTTTGAACTATTCATCTAATATATATGGTACAACTACAGAAAAATAGATACATAGTAATCTAGGCGTAAGTATAAGAACCTTTTTTGTGTGTGTGGATAAATACGAAAACCTGTTATATGTTGATAGAAATGTTGATAATTAGATGTGACAAAATGGGGTCAGCCTGGAGGGCCGGACCACCCCGCATGCGAACAAGTTTCCCCCCTTATATCTACTGTCTAACAAACTTGTCTTTGTATGATTAAGATAATTAGATTTACTGCTGTAAATATTTCAGAAACAAACATCTAAATAAAATGAACAATCATATTGTGATAAATAAAAGTGCACCTAGACAAAATGAACAATCAGCACAGTATTTAATTTTTTTTCTTCATGTATATTAATTGATTTCATTTTGTAGCAACTGTTGTGTACGGTTGAAACAATAAGACGGGATCATATTGAATAATAATGCAAAGGAGAAGGTTCATTGGTGGTTATATTCGAAGAATGAATTATTGAGTACATAACTATATTTGTTTTGCAAAACAATCAATGCCTCTGAGTTGCAGATTTGTTTGTGGTTGATGTTTACAAGTTCCGTGTGAATGTTGTAGTCTTTTAAAGTTGAAAAATAGCACAAAATAGCAAGATAATTCTTTTTTATTTCACATAATTCTCAAGTAACATGTTTGTTTTTTTATTTTTTGTTCCTTCATGTTTATTCCTCCACCATGGTATTGTTCAGAGTTTGATAACAAGATGAATGTGTTGATTTACCGATGCGGTGATTAACCAACGACGACGATTTCGTTCTTTTTCCCTCAAGCATCGCACGAGTAATTCACTAGTACCAATTTAAAAATAATCTCTCCCATTTATGCGTCATATTTATTGTTCATTTAAATTTTACATAAACAAATTCTAGTTTTGTTTTTTATATGTATATTTATTTTTATATTTTTTTATCATTTGCAGCTGTTACGATATAATAAGATTAATGTAAAGTTAAATTAAAATATAAATATAATATTAAAAACAATTATTAGAATACGAATTAATTACATAAATTTTTATTTTTATTGGTAATATTTATTTTTATTTTTATTCGTATATTTCGAAGACATTATAATAATAATATCATAAGAACCAATTATAAACAATTATACTGAGTATAACATATAAAATTAAAAATACATTTAGTATTTTTATTTTCACACTCTCCAAGTTTTTTTTTTGGTAATAAATCTTTCTAAGTTTTAAATAATAACGAAAATAAATATTATTACTATTATTATTATCTTTTATAAATAATGTTTTAAAACTTAAATCTTTTTTTATTATTATGATATCAATCTTTGTAATTTAACTGGACAATAGTCGGATTCATACTGGGCGATTTTATGATATATATATATATATATATATATATATATATATATATATATATATATATATATAAATTTTTAATTTCTAAAATTCAAACTTGAGACCGCTTGTTTGTTTTTAAAATTAGATCTTAAAATTTCTGATCAAGAAAAATAAATTTCTTATAATTTAAACTTATAATTATTAGTAATTATTATTATTTTCTTAATAAAATACAGGTCACTTATTCCTATAATTAAAGCATGGATATCACCTGTTACTAAAAGAAAAAAGAAAAAAAACCTGGATATCACTTTGTTCATTTGAAAAAGAAAAAAAAAGTTGTAAAAATCATTTTAAACTATCTTCATTCGAGTATGCTTTTAAAACTCTAAGAACTTGTTTGGACTGAAGTACCAAATAAAGAGGATAGGATAAGATTAGCCAAAAAAAGAGAAAGGATAAGATAAGATAAACTATCGTATCATATTCTTATTAGGTTAGCTTATGTTATCCGGTGAAAGTGATAAGTTAGCCTATTTAAACTTATTAAATATTATTAATTAAAAAATAATTAAAAAATATTATTTTATTACTCAAAATTATTATAATAATAATTTTATTTAAAATAAAAAAATTTATTTATTTTTAAATAAATAATATGATATAGGTCGGCATATAAACTTATAGTCTGACATATATAAAAAGGCCTATGGCCATTTTCTAAATAGTTTTTTTAAATATATAGGCCTATTCAATTTCACTATTTGTAATAGGTCAAATTTTGCCTAGTCTAAATTAGGTCATAGGCTCTGTAAGCTGTTGGCGTAACTCATGTATATCTCTACTTACCATTAAATATTTTGCAATTGATTTTTTCATTTTCACAATTTCAACAATTTTCGGTTATTTATTTTTTAGGGGAGCTTGAGAAATAATATTAAAAACAAAGAAGATATGACATAAGAAATGAAGTATAATATAATATTGAAATTTAAGTTCTCGTATTTTTCTTACAAATGGTATTATTTTATTAGTTGAGCTGTATTGAAGAAGATATTATAATAACACTCATCGTGTCTCTTCCACTTTCTTCCTCCCCTCATTTCTCTTTTTCCCTTTTTTTTCTTTTGTCTTCATCTGTCTGCGGTTAACTAAATACGTTTC